TCATCATCGAAGACCGGGTAACTTACTGCCAGACTGACAAATGGTACACAACAGCTGAAGGGGACACATGCGACACAATAGCCCAGTCGAACAGCGTTTCTTCATCCACACTTTATTTCGAGAACCCAGACACGATTTTCGACTGCTTCAATATCGAGGCCGGCTCCAAGCTGTGCATCCCGCCGCCCTGCACTCTCACATGGGTCATCCAGCCCGACGATACCTGCGCCTCAATCGAGTACAATCTGACCATGACAACCGCTACGCCAATACTCGGCAACACCCAGAAGTACAACAGATGGGTGGATAAGAATTGCGAAAACCTACACATTGCCAGCGCCGCCACCTTTGGCCACGTTCTTTGTATGTCCCCGCCGGACGGCGCCTACGCTGGCAACGACACCGTCAACGGGGATACTACCACGCCTACCAACGCGCCGGGTTATAGTGAAGAAATCATCGATCCACCTGCAGGAGCAACAGTCGCGGATGGTACGACTGTGTATTGCGGCTCCTGGCATGTTGCCGCTGTCAATGATACCTGTAGCACCATAGCCTTCAGCAGTGGCACAACGATTACTCTTTTCTTGGAGGTCAACCCCTCTCTCGGCACTGAGATTGCGGATTGCACCGAGAAGTTGGTACAAGGAAATGCGTACTGCGGATTGCCTTTCGTTGTTTGGGATGAACTTGATGGCTCTTGGTGATAGTACAGGCGGAAGATGCGGGATCCCTGAGTCGTATTCGTATTCTGAACCCCTGGAAACTTAATAGCGGCAGTAGAAGCTGACGCCCTATTCATCTCCATGCCCGTTCAAATACCTTGACAATGTGACATAGACTGAGGCCATGGCATCTACCATCTCAATGGCTACCTTAGTAATACAATGTTCATCATCTTTCTCGTTGTTTCCCGGCCTGCCTTAGCCAAGCAGGATTGAGTTGGTCTGATGCGTGACTCGAGCCGGAGTCTCTCCCCGCCGCCGCCGTAACAACTAATCTCCACAAATTCGAGTTAACCTCAAAATGGGTTGGGTCATGAATGTCGGTCCTCCTCGTTCTTTGTGACCCCTTAATTATGTCATCCATTCAACCTGTCCAACAAACAACCCCGCGTCCACGAGTAGAAACCCCGTCATTAGCAATCGACTTCACTCCTCCTGCGTAAATCGTCCGTTTGCCAACTTTGGGCCGTAGGTACTTATCCTTCACGATCACTGCCTCAGCGAAAGCTTGCATCATCGAGGATGGGGTTGAATGTGGTGTTGTTGGTCCAGGCACTAGGCGCGCTTGCAGCGTTCTACGTTACCAAATTTGTTGTTCGGCTGGTCCAAGTCAGGTCGAAAGTGCGGGCCGTCTCAAAAGATCATGGAGTGGTATGTAGCCAATCTGGAAAGCCACGCGCTCCGAGTATTTTGATCAACCCAGCTGATTGATGATGCGATACAGGAAATTCTTCCTCACTCGTTCATCTTCGGCCACCTTTTGCTGGTGGGCAAATTGATGGCAAAACAACCTCCAGGACTCAATGGCCAAGTGCTCCCGCTACTACTATTGAGAGAATACCCGTCCCTCTGCAAGAAAGGGCTAGTCTACGTAGATACATGGCCCATCGGCCCGCCCATGATCGCCGTCTTTCACCCAAACATTGCAGATCAATTCACGCAGGACCGCTCACTACCAAAACACTCCATGATGAAAGAGGAATTTCACCCACTGACGGGATGCGATGATCTCGTCAACATGGAAGGCCAAACGTGGAAGACATGGCGGGCCGTGTTCAACCCAGGATTCTCAGCTCGAAATATCCTCTCATTAGTCCCTGCAATGGTTGAAGAAGCTTTAGTTCTCAAGAAGTCTTTCGAGACTCTGGCTGACTCGGGAACCACTGTTGCTCTGGAAGACGGTGTAATGAAGGCTACAGTGGACGTTATCGGCAGAGCAGTTTTGTAAGTCCTTCCATTTGCTTACACGATGGTTTCGACCCGAGAGCTTCCTCAGATCTTTGCTTCAGCTGACTGTGTCTGACTTAGGGGGACCCGCCTCAATGCACAAACAACAGACTCACCCGTTTTCACAGCTCTGCAGCAGCAGATCGGCTTGCTAATCCCAGATAATAGTCCGCCCAATCTCCTCAAGTCTATCAACCCCTTGAGGCCGTTTAAGATGCTTTACTACAACTATGTCATGAAGCGCGAGATCGTGCCGCACATCGAGCGACAGCTCCAAGAGAACATTTCAGAGAGAAGCAACAGTAACGGACCCAAAACCGTCAACAGTCTAGCGATAAGCTCCTACATCAAAGAGATGTCTGCGGCTGGCTCCAAAGCCGAAGCGAAGCTCAACTCTCAATTCGTTGACATCGCAATTTCTCAGCTCAAGATCTTTTTGCTCGCAGGTCATGATACCACCGCTAGCGCTCTCTGCTTTGCCTGGTATCTCATGAGCAAGTATCCCGCTATCCTCGAGAAAGTGCGATCCGAGCATGACGAAGTCTTTGGGGCCGATGCAAGTGCCGCAGCATCTAGGATTGTCGAGAACCCTGCGTTGCTGAATCAACTCCCCTACACCAACGCTGTGCTGAAAGAAACGCTCCGCCTCTACCCACCAGTCGGGACGGTACGACAGGGAGCTCCTGATGTGTTCATCACCGAACCAGAAACAGGCGAGCGATTCCCCACCGACGGGTTCATGATGTTTGTCGCATCGCAGGCGATGCACAGATGGGACGCGCTTTGGCCAGACCCCGACAAAGTCATTCCTGAGAGATGGCTGGTCAAGGAAGGCGACCCTCTTCACCCGGTGAAGAGTGCATTCCGACCCTTTGAACTGGGTCCCAGAAACTGTATTGGCCAGGAGCTGGCTTTCGTTGAGATGCGACTCATCTTGGCTTTGACCGTAAGAGAGCTTGAAGTTGTGCCACAATTTGCCGAGGACGCGCCAGAGGTTTTCGGGGAGAAGGGCTTCCAGTGGATGACGGGAACACAGATCACTGCTCATCCCAAGGAAGGGATGCCGGCCAAGATCATCAGAAGGTAACGAGTTCTTGGCCCTGTTTGAAATCATCTATCGAAGGACCCGGTGGACGATCACGGTTGATTCATACTTCCATGCCCGTGTCTTTGTCTGTACGGAAAGGGCGGCAGTTAGCACTTCCATTCTATACTCACAACCAATCCAAGAGACAACTAATCGCCCTGTGAGCCTTCATGCTTTGTGATACTCAAGACGTGAGAATAAGCTTTGGCGGTAGAGACATTCTATGTCTATTTCCATTTCGGGAAGGGACATCGCTAGTGCTGACGCTCGGGAACGATGTCTTTACTCAGACAGCTGCGCTGGATAGGTAAACGGAGAATCATCCCTTTTTGGACCATCAGCTGATCAGAATGCATCTTGCAATTAGAGGTGGAGAGATTGAACCGACAAATATTAGTTATTTTTGTCATTCCTTGTTGTATGCGAGCGAACGTTCAATTCATTAGGCCTGGCAGTGTTGGTTATTGAGCCGTGTGTTGCTGTTCGTGGACACGCTGACTCCTTTCCATACATCAATGACCGATGGCGAAGAGATTAGATAGCGCGATGTTCGTCAAAAAACTAGCCTTGCAGTTGTTCCAAAGCTACAAGCGAAAAGTCATTACTGCCTCAATGCCCACATGCGGTTTGCGGAAGCAGCACGTCGTGCCAAGTCGGCACAGTGCCTTTGCTTATCACAGCTTCACGTGGGTCACTAGAATCTCGCGAGAGTCCTCTCTCTCGGTTAAAACATCGTTGTCGGCTCTGAGACCCTGCTACCAAGGTCTTGGCTTTCTTAGGTTACGACGCGTCAATGCGACCTCAATAGCTTGATCCAAAAAGGTCTCATAGCTAAGCCTGCAGACAAGAAATGGCTGACAGAACTCTTCCTCAGCTTTAATACGACATCAGCCCACAGACCAAGCCGGAGGGAGAATTCATGATATAAGCCTCGAATCAAACTATGTCCACTCAAGTTCCAACCCAATTCCTTATGTCCGCATGGAAGCTCATTCGAAATCAGAGCAGACCCTGGGATTCTGGACTCGCTTGCTGCATCGGGCCTGAACTCCCTTCGGGGATAGCTCCACTAGCCTTCGGTGATCCCACTCGGTTCCATCTGCCGGCAAAATCCCCCGCCTTATTATGCAGGTTTAGCTGTCAGCGCTAATATCTATTCTCCCTGTTATTCGTCAAATTGAGGGCCTTTTTTTATGTAAACCAGTCAGGTCCCAGGGTCATACAACGCCGCCCTCGGGAACCGCTCCTTACCCGCTGTGGGCTGGGGTAGGTGAAGATAACCTTCTTTGCCTTTCCCGTCATCCAATTCCGATGAGCTTTCGTTGTCTAGTGTATAGTGATAATGTGGGACATTTTCCTCAAGATACTTGGGTTGCTTGATCCACTTCCTTGGCTAGATGTGACTGCTCATGCTCTTCCATCCGGAAATGCTTCGGTGGCTGTTTCCGGCAGCTCTACCTCTGTCATGTTCGTGGGAGTAGCACACAAGATTATTACCAAGTATCCATGTCTATTTGATGCATGCAAGCCTACTTGAACTGATGTGTCTTGAACCTTGGCCCGACTTGCATGCACATCACCCCTTAGCATCAGACGAACCGGGCGAGGCTTTGACAGGAGGGTATAGTCCGAGCGGTGTAAGTCTCCTTTGGCTCCTAGCGGAGTCGAGCTGAGCAGTGCAACCTAAAGTAAGTAGGATGATAGATTGTGTCGTATTCCTCCAATGTAGCCTGCATCTTGGCAGTACTAGGACTTGAGCCTGGATCAACGGTTGAGCCAGAGATGAGGCCGAAAGATGACCACCAGGAGGGGGGCAGGGCGGGGCTCCTAGACCTGACGTTGTGCCCGGAACTCGGATGATCAGTCATGATGAATATATAGGAGCTCTTCTACCCGTCGGCTTTCTGTTCGATGAGTCTCTACTTAAGGTCATTTAGACTCTCCAGACCCCAGTAGTCGCAATGGTTCAACTTCTAACAGTCTTGCTGGGTCTGGCAGCACTTACCCAAAGCGTCTTCGCCGCTGACCTAGTGCCCCGTACGTGGCAAGGAAAGCAGTATGGCTGCAAATGCTACTTTGGAGATGCATGCTGGCCCAAGTCTAATGACTGGGCCCAGCTGAACACGACCGTCGAGGGGAACCTGCATGCCCATATCCCTCCGGAAGCTGTCTGTCACAACACTTTCAACGGCACACTCGGCACAATCCAAACATACGATGAGGCAAAATGTGCTGAGGTTACCGCTATCTACACGGATGAGCAATGGACGTATGTTGACCCTCTTTATCGTTTTTTTTGTCAAGTATCAGAAAGTAGAGCTAAAAAGCTGATGCCGCTCAAAGAACTGATCAACTGGGTCTCAACCTGTGGAAGTATTTCACCAACGCAACATGCCAGCCTACTGAAAACCCCGAAGAGCCTTGTACGCTAGGCAACTATGGCGTATATGTCATCGGGGCGACCAAAAAGGAACACATCAAAGCCGGGGTCGACTTTGCGAGGAACAACAACCTCCGCCTCATCATCCGCAATACGGGCCACGACTTCATCGGACGCAGTACGGGCTGGGGTGCTCTCATCATCAACACCCACAGCTTCCAGGACATCACTTTCACCGAGCAATGGATTGGTCCCGGTGACTATTCCGGCAACGCTGTTACGCTCGGCGCCGGAGTCCAAGGCCGCGCCCTGCTGAGGGCGGCCAACGCACAAGACCCTCCCGTCGTCGTTGTCACTGGCGAGTGCCCCACCGTAGGCGTCGCCGGAGGTCTCGTTGCCGGCGGCGGCCACGGCCCTCTGACGACACTTCACGGCATGACTGCCGACAACGCACTCGAGTTCGAGGCCATCACCGCCGAAGGCGAGTACGTCACCGCCAACGCTGACGAGAATGCGGATCTCTTCTTCGGCCTCAAGGGCGGCGGTCCTTCTTCATACGCCGTTGTGACTTCAGTGACGTTCCGGACGTACCCCGAGGAAAAGGCAGCCGGCGGTGTTCTATACATCAATGGTACCAGCGGGGTCAACGAGACGACTTTCTGGGAGGGTGTGCGCGTGTTCCACAAATGGTCTAATCATTTCGTCGACAACGGCTTGTACGTTTACTGGGAGCTCGGTTCGATGATGCTCAATGTGCAACCGTTTGTGGCGTTTGGGAAGACGCAGGGGGAACTCGACGCGATTATCAAGCCTATGCTCGATGAGCTCAGGGCCAACAACGTCCCCTTTGAGTCTTCCACCAAAGGCTTTGGGTCATTTTTCGCTCTTTACACGGACCTATTCCAAGACGAGCAGGCGGGCACCCACGCCTTGACTGGTGGGTGGATGTTCAGCCACGCTGATGTTGAGAAGCGAAACGACCAGATCGTCGACGCTTTCAAGACTGTTGCCACCCCCCGAGAAGGACTGGCTGGTTTCATGGTGGGACATTTGTGAGTACCTTGACCTTCGCCCCTGAAGTAAGTCTGACATTAGGCAGTTGGAATGCTGGGCATGCATGGCCGGTGGCAAACAGTGCGACACATCCAGCCTTCAGAAACGCGACCAACTTCATCATCAGTGTCCTACCGGTGCCTATTGGTGCCAGTCTTGAACAGAAGGCTGACCTGCAAGACGTCTTGACCAACGTTCAGGATGAGGCCTTGAGACAGGCTGGTCCCGATGGGTGTACCTATGTCAACGAGGTGAGTTCTGCTGAATTTAGTCATAGTAGGACGAAAACTGACTGACCACATTATCAGGCTGATCCCTTCCAACCCAATTGGCAAGACGCTTTCTGGGGTTCGGTCTACCCTACGCTGCTTGAGTTGCGTAAGAAGTGGGACCCCAACGGCATTTTCTACGCCGTCGCGACTCCTGGTACAGAAGACTGGGAAGAGATCGAGTATAACACAAGACTTTGCAAGAAGCTTTAGATCAAGACACATGTCGGATCTGATTCCTGTCTCTAGTTCTCTCCAAGTACAAAACATATAAACGATCATACATGCGTGCTTCATACTCTGAGTTCTTAATGACTAAATAGCCCAGAGTCTTTGATATCTATTCTGACGGATCGTCTGTATTCGATCGAGTCTAGCATCCCTGTGACCCAGATATTCCTTCCAAAGCAAGCTCGCCGAAGGCTAGGCGAACTCACAATCTATCATCTACTATGTTCGCTCCGGACTGGTTGGTACTGGTAGATGCCGCCGCATCCTAGTGACAATCTCCAGATACTCGTCATTATTCTCAGAGGTGATGATGTTGTGGCGTATGAAGAAGTCGAGCATAACCAGAACGCAGTTGGGCTTGAACTGCTCACCCAGCATGGCATCCTTAACCTGGTCAATCGTCATCAGCTCAAACCCGGAAACCTCATCATCCCCCGGCTGAGGCTCGATCGACTCAGGTAGCTCAAGGTCGTAGACGTAGAGGACAGTCGGAAAGAATGTGCCCCTCTGCTTATTCAAGCTGCAGTATGTCACAGCTCCAACAGCTCGAGCATTCTCCTTGACGAAGTCCGCAGGCAGCGACGCCTCCTCCGTCGCCTCGGCGATGATGCAGTCAAAGGGCGAGTCCTCGGCCTTGACGCCGCCAGCGACAGTGGTATCAAGGAGGTTCGGGAACGTGAAGAGGTGCGCGCTCCGCCTCGGTACCCAGATCTTCATCCCGTCGCTCGTTTTGACAAAGGCCGTCATGTGTGCCCCGCGCGACGAGATGCCGAACAGAGGTGCTGGAAATCGCTCAATTGAGACAAAGTGGTTCGCGCCGATGATTCTGAAATGCTCGCTGTGGAGCTTGTTCAGCGAAGGGAAAGAGTCAGACGCAATGGCGGCATCGACGACGCGCTGGAAGGCAGCCGTGCATGCCTTGCCGGGGTCCTCATCATCTTTGACCGTGGAGTTGAGCAACTGCACCACACGCTTATTGTGGTCGATGTGAAACTCTGGGGTCCATGGAAGGCGCTCTACGGTGCTTTGGACCATGAAGCCATGGGGCCTGAAATCATTAGGTAGAAGGAGTCTGTAGAGAGTATTGAAGTCAAAGCCCAGAGGGACACTGGAAAGCAATTAGAACTCCAACCTAATTCAAAAGGGAGATTCTGGTGATTGAGTCACTCAACTTGTCGACTTTATTGATCAGAGGCAAAAAGCTTTGACGGCTACGAGTTTCTTGGCCTTGGGAACTCATCATTGGAGAGACTCAATGGTGGCAAGTTTACAAAATTGTATGATTGTTGTGGTGGGTTCAATTCTACTTACTTGATCAAATGACAGTAAAACCACGACTTCGAGTGAGAGGATTATTGGCTGAACCCCACCCGCAACGCAACGCATGAGTAATTGGGCTGTGCTTAGTCAACCTCCCGTTTTCCTCTAGCCGCAGTGGAGGCGGGGCTCAGCCACACATCATTTTGGCATGCTGAAGACCAAGTGAAATAAAACTGTGCTCCACGGAAGCGGTATATCATCAACAAGTATCCCAATCTTATCTTCCAGTCATGTGCAGAGAAAAAGATGCTGAATTATCGTTGTAAGATTTGTTGTTGTTTAATGCAAGCCCTCAGGCGACGTGCATAACCATTGACATCCGTGTCAAATAAAACGAAACAGTATTTGTCGTGCGGTGTGTTTGCTGCCAAGTACCAGCACCAAGAAGGCCGTGGACCAGATGCCATGAGATTCTCTACTCTATGGCTTGGAGGCTTCTCTTGCATTATATTGCCCCTTCTACCTTAGGTAGGTGCGTGATGGCCTAAGTGTGAGGCAGCGCGGTTGAGGTCTGTTGCTACTCAGAATTGATTCCGGCAGGAGGCATTCTTTCCGTGGCCGTTCTTCTTGCTGTTCGTCGTTTAGATGGAATGGAAGGGGTAGCTCCGAGTGTTTGATTTAGATATGTACGGGCGATGATAAGGAAAGAAGGAGACGCCCGGGTTCGGGTAGCGGAAGATGGGTCGTGAGGCTGTTCTGAGAAAGCTTAGAGGGCAACTCTAGAGTGTCTGGGATACTAAGACGAACACTTGAGGAAGGTTGGGTCGGTTCTCTAACAAAGAGACCCTAGACGTGGTCGGAATTCTCCCTCCATGTGTTCTGGGTAGGCTTCCAATCTGATCTAGTCTGGTCGCGTTTTCCTTCTTGAGCTGCGGCGGTGTTGTGGCGTGCTCCATCCGAGCTCGTCTCCAACAGTTTGTCGACCGGTCAATCTTAAGTCCCTGAGTAATTCATCCCGTATGCGAGAAATACGAGAACGAAGGCTTGAACCTGAAGAACCGACGCGTCTTTCTGCGACCGTAGCTGCGATCTTGCTCCTTTCCTGCTCGCTGCTTCCGCCGATGAGGTTCTCCATGGTCCCGCATCTTGTTATGGATATTCTTGAGACTAGCTGTGCCTTCTTCGAGATATCCAAGGGTATGTGCGTCAATTTCATCTCGTTATTCATCGCAGAAGGATATTCCTGCTTGCTGCTCGCCGTACTAACCGGTTGTCGTCCACCGCTCCTCGCCCTAGAAGACTATAAATGTCTTCCAACCCCCCCCCCCCGGCCAACATGCTGAACTTTCTTCTTGTCTCTTCATCTTGTTGCGCATCTCCTGTCGGAACCCTTCGACATGCACGCACCGCGTGCCGTACGCTGTTCAAGAGAGCGTAGGCATACCGGGCATAGCGGCCCTTTTTCTAACCCCGCCAGGCTTCGAAGAGGGAAGGGGTCAAGGAATGATTGATGAAGAAAAGGTGAGAGGGCGGGTGGTCGGCCTTTTGTAGGAAATCAATTTGATTCTATCAAGGTCATCTGCAAACTCTTTGATGGTGCCATCCATTATCTGAATGCACGACTTCTTAAGGTTTTCAGTGATGTTATCAAGATTGATGTGACGACTCGTGCGGCCAGAGGGGTACGCCGTAACACCTAGATGAAGGAACACTATTACATATATCGATGCCCAGATTCTGTGACAGATTCCACTGCCGTCTTTCATTGTCTGGCCGAGAGCCATACTCGCCTCCACAGCATCGTCTCAAGAAAACACACAAGCTCTACGTTACCACTAGGCAATTTCGAGAGTCCAGCTATCCTATTACGAGTCGTTCCGCTAATTTTACTGGTAATCTCGAAACTGTTCGCTCAGAGATGGAAGACAACGTGTCTCGAATCAACTGTTGGTGCGAAGCGGTCTGAGTAAACGACCCTGCCATTATGAGCGGCCACGAGAGCACTGAGAGGCCTCTGGGACTTCGAGCTGTATCTTCGAGTCTCTGAATGAAATCTCTAATGCACGCGTTGCTCTTCTCTCTCCACCACGTCTGGCAAACTTCTTGTGCCACCGGGGATGTGTAAAGATGTACCAGGAGACCTGTTCGCCATAGACCCCAGACTCTCCGGATGTTATCACTTGCCTCGGAACCAGGGGGGGGTTTCCAAGACATAATCTGCGACTCGAGTGCTGCCAGTTGTATCGCGCGTTCGATGTCGTCCTCAAGGCGTTCCCTTGATGCTGAAAGGCGTGCAAGTTGCGGCACAACCAACAGGCCTGTGACAAAGGCTGTCTGAAGTAGGCCGATCTGATTTCTTATTCCTCCCTCATTGTCCAGATCCTCAAGCTTGGCCGCAAGTTGGAACATGTTCGCCATCTGCTTCTCTACGTATGAGGGCAGACCTGTGGGACCTTCGCACCCCCATGTCTCAGCTCGTATGTAGATGCACGCCCTGAGCAAGAATCTGTACAGGGTTCGATCAATCTGAGGATCGGACGAGGGAAGGACGTTGAGTATAAGATGGGTGGCAAAGTCTATGTGGTGACTCCGCGTGCTGCCATGCGTCAACTCTAACACAGCCATTAGTATAGTAGCTGAGCAAAGAAACACAGGTTGCTCGTCCAGCCCAGCTTTGCACGCAGTAGTCCGTACCATGATGGCCTCCATAACTCTGGAATGACATAGCCCAGAGAGTTGTAGCGCTTTATTCGTCGGGGCTCGCATCATGTACTTTGCGCTGCTCAGGGCGAGGGCTGCTCGCATGACCAGATCGTCGGCGAGGACCAAAGGCATCGTGTACTTGAGAAACAAGTCCAAGTCAATGTCATCAGGCGCTATAGATGGCATCGACTGTAAGACAAAGTGCTGAAACAGTAGCTGAAAATCGTCGGTATTTGATCTCAGGGTCGATTCCAGAATGAATGGGATATGCTGTTTCGTTGGTGATACGTTGATGAGGGCGGCGAGGGTTGCGCTATCAGGTATGGACTCGGAGGCAATCCCACGGGTAGTGGGATGCAATCTCCTCTCCAGTAATGGCGGTTCGCTTAACAACAGGACATCGAGACTAGAGTGATCATCGGCTGCCGTTACTGACGAGATATGCTGAGTGACAGACTCCGACACAACCTCATCTAGCATCCTTGTGGGAACATGGGCAACGCGGTCACAGACAATGCCTGAATCGGCTGTCGTCAGATCCCTGTGTTGGATCTTATGCCGCCGCCTCCTCGAGGGATTTTGTGCCACCGCTATTCAGAGTCAGCTTATCAGAATCTCCAACATCGTCCTAAAACCAAGATTGGCAGTTGTACCCACCACTGCGTGCAGGTGCGGTCCTGACTTCTTGCCAATTGTCGGGCCAGACACATGCAACCTGTTTCGCAACACAGGAGTGACACTCGGGACGGTTTTCGTCGCACTTCTTCTTCCTACTTCTGCAACCCAGACACCCAGTCTTCATACGCTTGTTTGTCATAATAAAATATGCGCTTCAGAAGCTGGGCGAACGCGTAAAGCCATAAGCGTGTATCGGGAGCCTTGGGATGGATATCGTCAGTGATGAGAACTTGCAACAGGAATCGGTCCCAGTTGTGGCAGAAAAGCTCAGACGTCTTGATCGGGAGCTCAATGTGAAGAGCTACTACTGTGCCTTCTGCTCACTACGTAGCAAGACTCATGCCTGAGTTGAAACCTGGTCATCCCATCGGTAATTACCCACTTGGTCCCTATGTTGCGTTGTTCAGTGCACGCACCGATAGTTGTTGCCGGGCCCCCGAGGAATATACCTTAGGCAACAGACCTGCATTGTGACACAAATGGAACCGGCGGGATGTTATTTTCTTTTCTGCGTTGATTACGCAAAACATTACAGTGGGCTGAGTACTAGGTGCCTTCGGAGGTTTTGAGCTCTAGTGCCGTTCCCGGCACTACAATGATACGTAATCAGAAGACTATAAGACATTTCAGTCAACGTTAGATGCCATTGAGGGTCAATACGTCAGTCTAAACATGGTTTGATAGGCATCTACAAATCTCAACTCCTGCCAGATTTGATCAACTTGACATGGATGTTCTTTTGTCTCACAAACCACGCGTTCACAGTATCCCATTCCTTGTCTGGATAGCTCAAGCTGATCTAGAGTTGTGCAACTGTTAGTCTGATTTTTACCAGTTTGGGTGCATTCCTTACATTGTAGGTATAGAGAAGAGTCGGAATCGCTTTATAGATCTCAAGTAAGCTGATATTCTTGCCGATACACGTACGTGGTCCGGCACCGAATGTGAACGTCGCTCCTTGCATCTCTGCCTTCCGAATTTCATAACTTTCCAGAGGTTCGTGTTCGCCTTGCAGCCATCGGTCCGGCACGTAGGACTCGAGATGATCGCCGAATGCAGGATGACGATGCATGACCCATGGGTTGATACCGACAACGGTACCCTCTGGCAGGAATGGGCCATCAGGAAGCTGAACTCCGGCTTTAGGAACAATTCTTTCGAGTAGTAGGCCGACTGCGGGATGAAGTCTGAGCGCTTCTTTGATAGCCGCATCCAGGTAAGGCAGCTCTTGGCTCTCTTTCCACGTCACCGGTATTGACAGTTTACCGTTTTTCCTAGCACCCACAATTTCTTTCATGACTTTGGTCAAAGTCCAGGGGTTCTTAAGGAGGTAATAGAGCACCGCTCGTAGTGAGATTGCAGTCGTGTCAGACCCAGCGTTAACGTTGCTGAGTGTCCATGAAAAGACCTGCCGGTCGTCAACAACTTGTGGATGCGTCTTTTTGGTTTCTAGGAAACGGGTGAGGAAGTCGCGGTGTGAAGGGTTTTCTATCTTTCCCTCTGCGCGATGAAGACGCTCTTCGAGACACTGGCGCGCGAATTGAGCGACAGCACCCGTGGAACCACCACCAAATTTGCGCTTGATCGGGTTCTTAATGAAGAGATGATCCAACCAAGGTATCTGGCCAATCTGAAGACATAAGTCTGTCAGCGACTTGCTACTTAATATGCTTCTGATCAAACTCACCATTCCTGCATAGTCAACCATCTTTTCCAATGAAAGCATCACGTCGCCGACGTCTTGGCCCTGATCGAGGAAGCCGAGCGGCTTGCCGAAGGTCAACTCTCCAATCACATCGAAAGCATCTCAATTGAGACGCGTCGACGTTAGCTACTTGACGTGATCAAAATTACTGGTCATAACCACTCACAGTACTGAAGCCAGGTTGCAAGATCTAGTTCCCGTCCAGCGCCGGCAAATTCATCCAACTTCTCAAGCAACTTCTCTATCGTACTATCGACAAAGGGCTCGAATTCGGTCAGCGTACTCATGGAATAAAGACTCGAGATAGGTCTCTTGATTTTTGCATGGAAATCTTCATCGAGTGTCGTGAAAAGTGTCTGCGTTGGTTTACCGTTGGCCAGCTGCTGCTGTACCGCATAAAACTCGGTCTATAAGAATCATTTCAGTAGACGCCTCGAATTCTCTTGGATACGTCAAACTTACCTTGCGATATCCTTTATTCACACCATAGATTGTCTTCAAGGCATCGAGGTTTTGGATGCTGACTAGATTCGGTCCGAGTCGTACATACTGCCCGTACTGTGCGTGGAGCTTGATGTGCGTCTCATGAGCTCTTCCGCGCGCTACATCAACGAACCTCCATATGTCGGAGATCTTGGCTAAGAACGGGCCTGGTATCTTGGAAACACCTCTTGCTGTGAAGTTCCGAACGAAGTGAATCGCTAAGATTGCAGCAATCAGAAATGGAAGATGAGCTGAAACGAATGCAACAACTTCCGAAATAATGGCCATTTTTCTCGTGAAACGACGATGGAATCGCCGTCAAGTTGGAAAGATACTTGGCAAGGTCACTGATTTGATGGCTGAATTGCTCCTCGTCTAAGAATTTCCCAACGCCAGAGGCGAAAAGGAAAGGGAAGTATTACATTAAAGTTGTCTCAGCAAAATACTGATCATCCGCCCTCTCCGCATTATTGCCAAGTGGCCGACATCCCCAAGAACAACGCTTCCGGTTCCGAGATGCGCTCCCACACGGGCCGGCTTTACTGTCTCGATGTATCACGTTTTGCAACTGCCGACCACCCCGCATCTTCTGATCGGAAGCTCGGAAACAAAGCTATATAAAGCATGTTCCGTTATAACGTACCCAGAGTTTCAACAAGCCTTCTCCAAAGGTGACTGGGTAATTAGGTATTCGTTTGAAAAGGCCGTAACTAATGACATGTTCCCGCGCCGCACAAGCGAAGCTCAGAACTGTGAACGTCTAAATGATACATATCCTACACTAATATGCTCCTCTATTAGCAGCAACTCATCTCTCCAGATATGGTACCCCTGAGATTGTCATCGAAAGTTCCTCAATCCGGCTTCAATCTGTACGGCTGGGTTTCCTAGACTTGCCGTCTACCTCGCCTTCGAAGCAATCGAGTATTGGAAGCCAATCGGACGTTTTTTCTAGTAAAATTATGATTTATTCCCTGCCCTGCCTACTATTGGCTATCTGCAATTCTCTCCTTCTCTTTCTGCAGCAAATCAAGTAGGGCGCCCTCGGGCGCGTCATCCGGGTCCATGAAAACCTCCACCATCCTCAAGCTCTTACCATCCTTCAGCTTGCCATCCTTCAACACTTTCTCTAGCTCACCCCAGGTCTTTGCAGAGCCCGTATACGTCTCTGGATCGCCTCCGAAGAAACCCGGTGCCTGCAAGTAGCGCCAGCGGGCAACGTCGTTGTAGGACTGATGCAACCCATGTATGCATCGTTCGATGGTGTACCCGTCATTGTTGAGTAGGATGATGATCACGTCGAGCTTGTGGCGTATCATGGTAGAGATCTCCTGAACAGTCATCTGAAAACTGCCGTCGCCGATGAAGAGAATCGTGCGTGCTTCCTTGATGTTGTGGTACTTGGATGACTGGATAAGTTCTCGTTGCGCCAAGGCAGCGCCCTGCGCAGCAGGAAGCATGTATCCGATGGAAAGCCAGGTTGTCGGGAGGAACATTCTAGTATGGCGCGGCAGGGCAAAGACTCGAGATCCATGACCGGCCGTTCCTGTCTCCCCGAAGATGATGTCGCCTGGACGCACGAAGCTGGACGTGAGATGCCAAAACTTGGAGTGCGTTATCTTCTCCTCGCTAGACACCTCCGAGAACTCTATGCCGTGGTCTTTAGGAAGTTCTGGGTAGTGAGCGTATTGATGGATCTTGGACTTTTCGAGTCTTTCGAGAAGTGACCTGACTACCGCTCTGATCGAGACATCGCGAAATGTTTGGTCTGCTATCTTGATGTTGTCGCTAAAGAGGATTGTCACATCCGGCTTGGGTATGCTTGAGAAGGCATAAGTGTTTGTTGAGCTGAAGTGAGGACCGAAGCACAGGATCAAGTCCGCCTTCTCGACGAATGTCTTGACAGCGGAATCGCTAAATCTGCCCGAGTAGATACCGTGGTAATTTGGCAGACTCTCGTCTACCAGTGACTTGCTGAAAGCAGTTGTCCAGGTGGGCCAGCCCGTGGCTTTCACCAGTTCCTCGGTCTGCTCGACAATACCCAACGGCCTCGTCTCTCCATCAACGAGGATCATCGGACTTTTTGCTGAACTGATCTTGTCCATGATTGCCGCCAGGGCAGTCTCGTCAGCCGCTGTTGACACGGCATCAGGCAGCTGAATCGGTGAATCTAGCCCTTCGGTCGAAACAGGGACAACAACCAGATCCTGAGGAATTTCAATATAGACCGGACGACTCTGAGCCAGGCACTGCCTCAGCACCTCGTCAATTTGACGCGGTGCCGACGATGCATCTCTGAGATTCGCCTGCGCAACGGTGACGTGAGAATGCATCTCCGCGAACCGCCTGTAATTTCCATCATTGAATCCATGGTGCATCAAAGTCCGGCTATCCTGTAGGACCCTAGAAGGCGTGCCAATGATATGGACCACGGCTGCGCGTTCAGCATACGCCCCGGCGATAGCATTGATGGCCGAGAGTTCGCCAACGCCGGATGTCGTGATGAGGGCCCCGACGCCCTTGATACGAGCATATCCATCGGCGGCGTATCCTGCATTCAGCTCGTTGGCGTTGCCGACCCAGAGCAGCCCTGCGGGTTCAACATAGTCGAGCAGTGAGAGGTTGAAATCTCCCGGAACACCGTGTATGGCACCTATGCCAAGCTGGTGTAAGCGAGTGAAGAGATACTCCGCAAGCTTGACAGTCGGAGGTTTGCTATCGCGGTCTTGAGTCATGTTGAGTGCGATTTGGGGGCCAGTCGTAAGGTCTATGAAGGTGATGGAAGGATGAATTACACGGGTAAGCTTGACCCCTCATATCCACATGCACTGAGACTTGATCGAGCTTCCCTCCTCAACACACCTTGGTTTTCCCCTCATCTCAGGCCGAGAGCTATGTCATAGCGAGATTTGTGGGCCCTGTAAGTAGTGCATGTACAGATGACTTGCATGTTCCGGTAGAGCATTCCCATCTACAATGCTATGCTGAGTCTGCCACCTCCACATTTACTTGAGATAGACACCTCGTGGTCTGCAATGATGAATATGCCCAGTATAAAGTTTAAGAGACTGTGAGTGATCAAGCTCTAAGAAAATCGGGAAATCACCCTGACGAGTCCTTACAATTTCAGACGCTAGTTGGTCTCAGAGAGGCGTCAGCATTCCCCAAAAGCCTAGCTCCCCAAGCCATCAAGCACCAACAAACCCCGCCGAATAGCACAATTCCCCGCAAGGTAAGCCGAGGCCCAGGCCTCAGAGCTACCTGTATTAGTTCAAATTTGCTAGCCTTTCCTAGGTCATCCTTGCTGTTGATGAGTTCCGGACGGTTAGCTTCGGCATGCGTATCATCGTGCCGACCTGATGTTTCTGTATCTGGGTTTCCATCGCAGCCTCTAAGAATGCTTCTATCCGTCGCCGCGGATTCGGAGATAGTATGATGTTGTGGCTCGCTTTCTGCACTGATTCCAGTCCGGACTCTGAGGTGTGGAGATGCTTATCAACTTCCTCGTAGGGCATGTCGGAATGACTCCACGCCAGGAGCCTTCGTTGTGGACTGGAATATCATCTTGATATTGAGGCTTGAGCGAATTTCGAGGAATCGATTACATCTCGTGTGATTAAGTCTCTAATGCAAATGATTCCTTACTAGTCTGGCCATCGACCAATACGTAAATACGTTGAGCTCCTGATGTGGCAATAATCGAGAGGGGCTTTCGACACGCGGATGCAGCGATGGAGATCGTACAAAGATGCTGGGACTCTTTTTTCTCTAATGGACCTGTAAGTATTTGTATGAGGAGACATGTATATAGTATCTGTAATCGTATAAAGGAGACATAGTCTACCCTGAAGTTCAGAACCTGTTGAAGTCATTCCACCTGAAGTGATCAGATGCCATCTCTCGTCTTGAAGGAAGCCTGAGACAGCAAATTCGATTTGGGCTTGCTATCAAGGTTAATGATTTGCGCAGGGAAACCAATCTGTAACATCGTCGATTATCTCTGAAGGCACAGTACCTATGTCAAAGTTATGGTTGAGATACAACAAAGAGAGAGTTGAGGCTGAGTCGGATTGACGTACCGCAGTTGGCAAACGTATTTCTCAGCACGGCAATAATCTGAAAAATCCGCGTCGTAGCAGCAGATGCATCATCACGATGGTTGACTAACCTTAGGAGATATCAACCCATGCGAAAAAACCTCCATGAAACTCCTCTTTGAACCAACCGGTAATTGAGGTTAGATGAACAGAGCTCCAGATCTCAACGGGAGTCTAGTATGACTCCCTTAATGTCTGAGATGAGTAGAGCGCGACATGATTTGCGACGTAAGCAAAGTCTTCAATGGTGCCTTCCTTATCCAGTTGGCGGAGAAAATAAGCCCAGTGAATTTCACACATTTTTCTCAAGATTGGCTCTCGCAACTACCGTGGTCAAGTGACTTGCAGATTGAAAATAGCAACTAACATATAGTATATAAGAGAAAAAGATTTCATATGAGAGATAGCAAAATCGAGTGGAGAACGAAGGGTCGTTGTATCCGTACATACAATTTACGTGACGCCGCCTCCTAAGTAAACACGAAAAGAACTCTGCGTCGTCGTTACGGAGCTATATTGATGTTCGTGTCGGCATTCAGGTTCCTTGGCCCCTATCGCGTTCTTGGAGGGCTTCTCGCGCCTATCTCGTGGAGCTTGAAGCTGACAGGCCGGAGCCAGGATGAGATTCAGACAGCAAGCCAGCTGCGAAAACCTGTAAGCGACCAGGACATCGGTAATCCCGTCTCTATCCAAGGGCTATTTGTAGTGCAATATGGGGGTGGATTAGTTTCATCAAGCGAAGGAGAGGTGCATTGGATGCCCCGAGGCTTCGGACGCTTTTCCCGCGCAGGTCATGCCGGTATGCGGCACGGCGGGTAGGGACCTCTGAGAGCATGGCAACCCCATCATGTTCAAGAGAACAATGCCTACCTTCTGGCGAAGCGCATGAAGAAACAAAGCACCTACACTCCACGGATTGGATGCTCAAAGCCTTCAGTCTTTTTTTTATTTTTTTTTTTTTTTTTTTTTAATATACTTCTCACAGTCCACGGCCAGCGAACGACACACAACATGAATTCTATTGGGACGCAATATCACGATGTGTTTGTCCGATTATGTTTCTGCTTTCATCTCGGTAGACTGTTCATCGCAATCTCTAGAAAAGTCAGACCGGAGCGAAGAAGGTCCACGCCGATATGGTTAGAAAACCTTGAAGATACTTTCGCTACGAAGTCTGATAACACAATCATGATAGACGAGACGGGATGATCGCAACATCAATTAACAACACAAAATCGATTGAGTCTCAAAGATTGAGTCAAGTTATGCGCCCGACGTAGGCAGCCCGCCAGCTTTACTCCCTGACACCTGCACCCAACCATTTTTTCTTCTGCCTCCCCCGTGTCTATCCCCATCTCACGACTGGGCAGCGGGCTGCATGCAGCCTGTGAAACTTCTTTTCGGCGGAGCATTACCTTCACAAGAAATGATCATCCATCTCATGCGCGAATTTAAACAAACTGCTTGACTCTTTGCTTTGGTCAATTTGGATTGGTGATCGACACACTGTGCTGTTAAGCTTGGATATTTTTGGAGACGCTGTTGGTGCTAATCACGACCATGCTTTTGAAGGGCTTGTAGATCGCCAGTGGAAACAGAAAAACAACCATCGGATGAATTCAACCCCGTCAAGGTTCGATGAACACAATCTTCGGTCATACCCCATGCCGTTGTGCCGTTCTAGAATAGTCTCCCATGTTCTCAATATGGCTCGAATGCTTCGCTTGTTGAGTTGCCGGGGCTCAGGGGGTGGAAAAGAAATAGAAATACGCATCAAGGTTGGAATAACTGGGTAAATGCGGGATAAAGGTGGGAACGACGTCTCCACGTCTCGTCCCAACTTGAAAGCTTCTGGGGCAGCAGATCGTCCGAACACGGCCCTTGAGCCATTTCGATGGATTTCCCATCAGACCATTGCAGTGACCCATGAATCGGACTGGAAGGCCTCTCTCCAACAGCCGTCCGGACACCATCAAAGTCGAGTTGCACCGAGAATGTGTTACCTACTTACGGACAAACTCGTTGTCTCTGTCAATGTCTCGCCCGACGCTATGGAAAGAATCCCAATGACGATGGACCGTGTTTTCGTCCAGCAAGCGCACGAGTCACTGCGAATTCGCCCCCGGAGCTAAGCGTCTGCCAAGCGCTTGACGCAGCAGCTGCTAGAAGAAGCTGAGAAGCTGTGGAATATTCTCCGGAAAAGCACGCCTAGCACCCAAAGAGATTTTAGCGGATCAACCTGGCTCTGCCAGCCCTTGACTCGGCTATTAATAGGTTAAGGTTCATCGGCGTTATCGAGAGCGACGCTGGGCTGGCGTCAGTTTCACTTTGATGGACCCTTGACTGGGAGCGAGTGACCGACTTTTTAGCGTCCTTGACTCTGAACGTTTTGTCGCCTCTCTCTCTTTTCTCGTCGTCTTGTTGGCCGTTTCGTTTATGTAAAATGTGTCCATCGGTCGGGAAACGGGTTACCTCTCGCTTCCCTAGCCCCGGAGGCTCTGCCTTGAGCGAGAATTACATGCTACGTTACGGCCCTTGGCCCATACCGTCTAGCCGTTCGCCTCCCGGGGAGTTAGACTCTTTCCAGCTACTCTGTCAAGTCGCCATGAGGAAAGCCAAGAAGAGTCCCAAAGAGACGGCTGCTGTCTAAAATGCCTAAAATGTCTGAAAATAGGGGACGTGGGGCAGCCGGTCGTTTGTTTGTGACATCACTGCCCACTTCTGCCCTATGTTAAGGCACCGGGTGGCATGTGCTAGTCACAGCATAACACGACCGATATTGGTATGGCACTCTGGGTGGCTGGGGGGCACAGCTTTGTGGTTGAGTTTGTGTGCGATTCAGCAGGACCAGCCACCGCCAGCCTCTCGCCTCAGCTCTGCCTCTTTTCTTCTCTCTTCTTTTTCCCCATCTTTCTGCTCCTGTGTCGAATAGGGACCACCGGTTCATCCATCATCCATGAGAATGGCTGTGCTAAATAGAGAACCGAACCAATCGGTATCCTCACCTTCTCCTTGGCCGGCTCCGTCCTCCCGAGGCCGCCGGTTGTGGCGCTTTCAACTTTCTCCATCCACACACACATTTTGTTGGTAAACGTGCAGAGACCGAGGTGCGAGGTCGACCAAAATCTCGGGGCAGAAGCAACGGGTCTCGCGGGCGGCGCAGACGGCAGCGCTAGGAGGCGGGATGCCGCATCGCCAAGTCTCTCCGAGGGTGCCATGCCATGCCATGTCACTCATCCTCGCCTCCCCTTGCGAGGCGGCTCCTCTCGTATTTGTCCGCGACTCCACTGCAAACCACAGGAGGCAGGGCTCATGATGTCAATCGGGCTCCGCCGGTATCCCTGGCCGGCATTACGAGAAGATCTTCGCCCCCGGCAGTGCACACACTCAACATTAGGCACTGGTTGGACTGGCGCAACCAACGCGACCTCGCTTTCTGCACCCCGTGATTACGAGATGATCGTCGAAACGGGGTCCCCTGGAGTCCTGGAGCCTTCTGGTGGCTCCTCAGCAACCAGCATTTTGTGATGGTCAACCCGAGATATAAGACGACCGACAGATCCCCCTCTCAGTCAACATTTAGAAGTCTCTATCCCACCACACTCAACAACCAACAATTTTAATCACAAAGTAATCATCCGACCACATCAGTCTTTACACCCACATCCACTTCAAACAATCACAACAACCATCAAGATGCAATTCACCAACACTCTCGCCGTTGCGACCTCCTTCATCGCCGCCGTCTCCGGCGCCGCGGTCCCCCAGCTCATCACCCGCCAGAACAACGGCACCACAAACGGCACCGCCCCCGGCCTGCCCGCCGACGCAAAGTTCCAGCTCATGGCTCTCCGCTCCGCCAGCGAGGTGCACTTCTCGACCTTCCAGGCCGCCAAGAGCTCCATTTTCCTCCAGCTGCCCAACCAGAACGCCACCTGCGACAGCACCGAGGACGACGACTCGGCCACCTTCTACCTGAACCAGGACGACGGCGGCCTCTACCTCTACGCCGCCTCCGCCACCCCGCAGCAGCTCTACGCCGACCGCTCCGGCATGGGCCAGGGCAAGCTCGGCTACACCACCGGCGCCCAGCCCGCGCCCCGCAACGGCGAGCGCACCGGCTGGAAGGTTGACCAGTACGGCGACCTCACCCTCGACGGCGCCAGCTTCCTGGCTTGCCCCAACAGCATCGAGGACAGCTGGTCCGTCTGGGTCTCTTCCGGTGTCGCCAACCCCGCCGGCAACACTGACTGCCTTGGCATTGCTGTCCGCGCTGTCCAGATCACCGACCCCAACAGCTGCAGCTACACCTCCTAAGTGGTTGCTTGGCTTGTTTGATCACTTCATATTTCACACGTTTCTCATCAAATTGGCATCGGTATAAAGGCATTGGGACTACCCGGGTATATCCATAGAATGGCGAACACTTGCATTTGTGGCATAGCATCGTCATCACGGTCACTCCGATGATGGCATCTGTATATTGTACTGTAGAAGGGCTTGCCTTCTTTGAACATGAATTAATTTATCATTTTTAACTTCACTGCTCGACCTTGCCTGTGACTCGCCGTGATCTTGAAACATTGTCTTTTTGAAGGATATTTATCGCTAACTCAAACAACATGGCTACTTCACGCTACGATCAAGGTGAAAAGTGACTGGTGAGTTTGCACCCATAAGCAGCCCACAGTTGAGTATTCCAGTGAGACTTGCCAAGATGGTTAGGGAAGTTGCGCATCCTGTCCTGGAGGATTCTCACGAGTGGACCACGACCCAGTTGCTAAGCCAATCGGAACTTGCTTTCATGTATCTTTTCTCTTTTCTCCTCTCACAGTGCAACCAGGTCAGAAATGTCCATGGGATTGTTGCGAGATTATCAATCATTAGAATTATTATCGTATGTTTCTACACTGCTCCACGGCCGCTGCTAGCCCTCCACGGCAGCGATACCCTCCTTATCGCCCTCCAATGCGGCCTTATTGAACTCTGGATCATTCGTAGGCAGCTCGACGTGCCACTGTGAAATTTGCGCGGCACCAATCTCGACCTCGCCGTCCGTACCAAAAGACAGAATATGCCCGCCCTGTGTCCGGTCCTCGGTGATAAAATGCAGGTGATCACCAGCGACGCTGATGCCCATGGTATACTCTGGTGACCTGAAGCCAACAACAGTACCCCGCACCGGCTCCTCAAAGGTGTGAGACGCCTGGTGCTTGCCGACCTCAGTCAGGCTCTCGCCAGGCTTACTCTGGCCGCCGGCTGTCCGCACCGTGATACCCTTGAAGACACCCTCGATCCTGATGGCGAGGAAGAAGTTTTTCGAGTCGGGGAAGTCCTGGGAGAGATGCTCAAAGAGCTCCTTTTTGTTGCTGAAAGCGGCCTTGATTGTTGCTGTGGGCTGAAAGCGGGTGACCATGGCGAAGGGAGCGACTGCGTCGGAGGCCGGGCTCGTTTCGATTGGGGTCACGGTGTTATCTGATTTCATTTGGTAGAGCTTTCCGTCGAGGATGATCATCTCGCCGACCATGTAGCGGAATGTTCCCAGGCCTTGATTTCCGTGGGAGATGAGGTCTGATACCGGTAGGCCCTTGGAGGCGACGCCGTCCATCAGGGCCGAGATGATGGAGTACTGGAATATCTCGTTGACCGCCATGGCGTCTGATATGGTTTACCAGTGTTCTCGTGAGTGCTGCGGATGTGAAACCGAACTCCCAAGTCAATAAGAATTGGGCAGAGTAAAGCCGCAGTTGCCAAATGAGACGAGGTGGTCACGGAAAGTGAGACGTTGAGTGAGGTGGTGGTGAGTGAAGGTTTGGGGTTCCATTGAGTTTGGCCACGAAATCGGCCCGCAATTGCTGACTGCTTACTGCAGAAGGAGCACACCTACCCACGCACCTGCCTCCCGTCCACCGGGTCGGGGACATCGGGAGGCCACGGAAGGCGGCTCCGGGACAAGCGCAGGCGGGACCTTCCTGAGTTTCAGCGAACGGAAGCTGCGAATGTGTGGCTCTTTCCTGGCGTTAATGGTTGAGTCATCATCAAGGTCCATCACAGTGAAGTGGAAAATGGAAGGCGCCGCTTTGGGTCCCACCGCCCCGGCGAGGGCGCTGACGTCAGTCGCACGGCATCACCGGCCACATCACCGCCTCGCTCTTTCGGTCTTTGAGCTTTGGGTGCTTCTTGCTCCTCAACAACTCAGATCTCACCGATTGACGGCCAAGCGCTAGGGAACTTTGCGGCATTTCAATCTCCACCTTTGCTCTCTCCATCTCCGCCTCTCGCCGATATCGTGATCGCGAACGTGAAGCTGAAGTTTTTGCTTCCTGCTCATGACCACTTGATCTTTTCTTGTTCTTGCAGGGCCCTCTGAAATTGACGTAAACAGGCTACCTTATACCCTCAGCATTCCTGGCCCATGCTTCCCTTCCCTTCATCCTAACCGGGATTTTATCAGAATCCAATCCGCTTCAGTGATTCTATACCACGCTCAAACAAGCACACGGTTGCTCAATGTCTTCAGAAACAGTAGATGTCGTGATCGACTCTCTTGTCGCTGCCGGCGTCAAGCACATCTTTGGTGTTCCGGGCGCCAAGATCGATAGCGTCTTCAATGCCTTGATTGACCGTCCCGAGATCCAGCTGGTCGTCTGCCGCCACGAGCAGAATGCCGCCTTTATCGCCGGAGCGATCGGCAGGATCACAGGCCGACCCGGCGTGTGCATCGCCACCTCCGGCCCGGGAACAAGCAACCTTGTCACCGGCCTGGTGACCGCCAACGATGAGGGTGCACCCGTTGTTGCCATTGTCGGCGATGTTAAGCGGGTGCAGGCTGCCAAGAAGACACATCAGAGCCTGAGAGGCGTGCAGCTTCTCGAGCCCGTCACCAAGAAGACCACTGGCGCCGTGCACCCGGATCAGATCTCAGAGATTATGCTCGATGCCTTCAGAACCGCCACCGCATACCCGCAGGGTGCAACAGCTATCAGCCTGCCGATCGATATCATGACAGTCGGAACCAAGACGTCTATCCCTGCGCTGCCCCAGAGCGCCTTCACACCGCCTCAGTATGGCACATCACCATCAGCATCACTGAGCCGGGCGGCGGCCATGATCCAAAACGCAAAATTCCCAGTCCTATTCCTCGGATCGAGGGCAGGAACACCAGACGCCGTCGAAGCTGTCCACGGTTTTCTCCGCAAGCACCCCATCCCCGTCGTCGAGACCTTTCAGGCCGCAGGCTCTATCAGCCAGGAGCTTGCCCATCTCTTCTACGGCCGCATCGGCCTCTTCCGCAACCAGCCTGGTGACAAGCTCCTCTCCCAGGCCGATCTCGTCATTGTTGCGGGCTACGATCAGTCCGAGTATGACGCCGACGCCTGGCACAAGAGCCAGAGCCTCGACATCTTGCATCTGGATTGGATTCCCGCCGACTATGGCGCTTTCTACAACCCGAAGCTGGAACTCGTAGGCGCCATCGCCGCCAACGTCAAGGCGCTGAGCGACATTCTGGCAAACGTTTCTCGCCCGCAGGAATCCGAAGTAGCGAAAACCATCTTCACAGAGTTCCACGCTTGGGAACAGAGTCCCCAGGCTCTGGGCCAGACTGGCGACGGTCCTGTGCACCCTCTCTACTTTATCAAGCTCATGCAGGGTCTGCTGCCCCCATCGACGACTCTGGCATCGGATGTCGGTAGCATGTACATCTGGCTTTCGCGCTTCTACTTCGCATATAGCCCCAAGTCCTTCCTTGTTTCCAACGTTCAACAGACTCTCGGCGTAGCTCTCCCGTGGGCCATCGGAGCCTCTCTGGCCCAGGAGCCGCCGTGCTCCAAGAAGGTCGTAAGCATCAGCGGCGACGGCGGGTTCCTCTACAGCGGACAGGAGCTAGTGACTGCCGTCAAACAGGGGTGCAACATCACGCACTTCATCTGGAACGATGGAAAGTATAACATGGTGGAGTTTCAAGAAGTCGACAAGTACGGCCGCAGTTCAGGCGTCGACTTGGGCGGGGTCGACTTTGTCAAGTATGCCGAGGCGTTTGGCGCCAAGGGATTGCGCGTCAGTCGTTCGTCGGAACTGGAGGCCGTCATGAAGGAGGCTTTGAGTTATCAGGGAGTCTGCATCGTCGACGTTGAGATTGACTATTCCCACAACCACGAGCTTATGAAGAATGTCATCCAGGACAGCATTAGTTAGAGTTTGGTAATTGGTTTTGATGAGCGATAGAAATGTCAGACGGCCGTTGTTGCCAAGTCTGCGGGTTACTGTCTCGGAGAGGAAACTAATAAAAGTTTACTTATCCCGGTCGTTGCTCAGTTGGAGGGATTGCGATGCATCTTGCGAATTCATGTTGGCTGCACAAAATGCAATTGACATCTCTTGGCGACGATCGAGTGTTACAGGGACGCATCGTTCACAATACGTTCAGTATCGTCTTTTCTCGGATGCTCCGGAATACACTCCCGGAACCACCATCCAGGTTCCCGTCAATGGACCATCAAGCGGAATGTGGTCGCGGGGAAAATGGATTGACAGGCATGAGCTGTTTCGATAGATTGCCGAGCTCACCAGAACGCATCTAGACCATCAGAACCCCTTCCCCTGGTGCGCTTGCAGACACCGACTGTTCACTGTTGCTCGCCAAGGAACTCAATGCTCTCGGACTTTGAAAAGTCATGCTGGATTCTCATAATTTACCTTGTCCAACTCGTATCAGAAGAGAGCTCCCCACCTCTCCTCATCTCAGCCCTAGGAATCGGAATCGGAATTCCCCCAAGGTCTTCATGTCGGTTTCCGCACGCACGGATGCTCTTTCAGATGGACCTAGACGGGGCACAGGAGGACGAGGTTCGTCTGCATCGCATCGGGATGTATGGAGTTTCAATGCTCTGGCACGGCAGATGATATCATGGTCTATGATACGCTGGACCCAGCATCTGCAAGAGAACCATTCTTATCTGTATCCGCTAGTCAGATACTTCCTACCACGCTCGCTACGTATTACTGCAGAATTTAGTGAGGGCATGATTGCAAGAGCAAAGAGAGGCTCCCAGCGCAGAAGCGGGGAGAAGAGATCTACGGATGTGAAATCCGTGCCGAGCACCGACCCTTGATTTCTAAGCTGGGTGAACCATGTTTGGCTGCTTCCCCCGTAAACTCCGCCGGGAGTTCACAGAAGGGGACTGGAGCCAAGCAGTCGATAGAGCGGGGTTGTTCTCCCCTCCTCTTTCAAGGCTGGGGGGGACAAGTTGCATCACGACATCGGTCTTTCAATGGTGCAACTTTCCGACCTCAGTGTGTTACTACTGTTGCATTGGTAATCAATTATCAACACTCGATTCCTTCAAATACGCGCCAACCTCACCATCGCCAGTCAACTCACCCGCAATTCCATAGCTAGAAAGCCAAGAAACCAAGTCTTGAGTTGCCGACAAAAAACACATTTAACAGCTTTCCAATCCATCGATACAAACTTGAATCAGAGACCGAATCCTGACAATGTCTTCCGCCGCGCCCAAGATCAAGTTGTACACCAACCACGGCTGCCCATGTACGTGACATCCATCCATCCCTAGCCTCGTCCTCGTTCCTCTTTTCCGTCTCTTCGTATCCAACCCCTCATTCACTTTCCGCGTAACCACCTACCCCAGGGAGCCACGTGCAGAATTAAGCATGAAGGCATACTGTCAACCCCTCATGAAGTCTCACGACTCAAACCACCGCATCACCCTCAACAGAATTAAGTTTCACCTACCTCAAGACAAACGAACCAGACATACACTGCAGTGGCTAACCCCAAAACCTCAGGGGCTCACCGTGCACACATCGCCCTCGCAGAACTCGGCCTGCCCTTTGAGGAAGAAATCATCGACCTCTCGGTGCCCCGCACGAAGGAGTACCTGGCCATCAACCCGCGCGGCCTAGTCCCCTCCCTCTCCTACGACGGCGAAATCATCACAGAGTCCGCCATCGTCAGCCAGTTCCTCGCCGACGCCCACCCGTCCCACCTCGTCCCCGCCGCCGGCAGCAAGGATGCTGCCCTCCGCCGCGCGCGCATCAACTTCTTCGTCGACACCTACTTTAGCAAGGCTAACTCGTCGCTGTACAAGCTGCAGCTCGCAAAGTCCGAAGCAGAGGCGAATGAGGTCGCGGCTGGGTTTATCGATGTCATCGCCAAGGAGGTTGAGCCGCTGTTGAAGGATGCGAAGCCGTACTTTGGGGGCAGTGACAAGGTTACCTTGGCTGAGGTCCTCACGGGTTCATTCACGCTGAGGCTCTTCTCGTTTGCAAACTACGAACTCATCCCGAAGAACATCCTGACGTCGCTGGAGGAGAAGGCGCCTAGCTTCTACAAGTGGGCGCAGACCGTCAACAGCACGCCTAGCGTCAACGGTATCTACGATGAGAAGAATGTGGTTGAGCGGACCAAGCACCGTATCGCTGCCATGAAGGCTGCGCAGGCTTGACAGGAGGGTGGTAGCCGACTTTGATGTGGCTGTATGAACACGGCTGTTAGTCATCAAGGCATTCCGGGAAGTTTAACCAATCCCATGATATTAGCGTTACAAGTTACTTTTGAATATCACCTCACTTTGAGTTGTCAACGCAAGGACGCATGTCCCTTGGAGACATTGGAAAGGAGGCTAAAAAATTACGAGATGTGGCTGTACAGCCCCTAGGGTCTGGTTTAAGACTGGCTTGAGTGGCCATTAGGTATCTCACATAAGTGAGAGTATTTGGCCCTTGGAAATCTCCATCAAGGATCTCATCGAGGAACATGGCCAGGCATGGAGAGTCTGGAGATAATGCACAATATCTTCAGGACATGGAGCCTTCGTGTTATCATTAGACGTCGCCTCAAGCCTCCTTCTATGCCCAATTAATCCGAGATATAAGAGCAAAGAGGATATTATCGTTGCTCAGGAATCTTGAACCTTGCGCACAGATCTTCATCATCGAGATAGTGGCCAGCAATCGAGGGAACAACCCGGGCGGGACAAAGTCCGATCTCTCTTGCAAGCCTAGACCGCGGCGGCTCGTCTGCTTGACTGCGCTGTGCTTAACTTTACTGGTTTTGCCGCAGGGCCACTTGCATTCCGGCAGGCAAAGTGCTGAACAGGATAACTCTCGTACGATGCTGGGTTTCTCTTTTTGGCTTTACGAGCTTGAGGCTGCTCATCGAGCTTCAGAATTCACTGAATTACACCGCGCCCAAACAGGTTTGCGAGAAGAAGGGCAGCAATTCCAAGAGCCGAAGAATGCAAGAGGGCAGAAAAATTTCCATACCTGCACGCAATAGAAGCAGATTGAATCTCACGTCACACAGCTGTCAATGCTACATACGATTGTTTCGACATACACAAGCACATCATACTTTTTGACAACCGTTGAGAGATTTCACCCGACTTTCACGCTCGAGATTCCGTCACATAACCGCAGCGGAACGCATATCGCCCGAACGGAGAGGTATACCGATGAGTAGTACCTCCGAACAGAATATTCAAATCTTCGGCTCAAGAAAGTGCTTGGATACAGAGTTTCTCCCACTTACCGGTGGGAGGCTCGAGAGGGCGGATGTTGTGTGTTGAGAGGATCAGATCAGACTGATCACAAAGAGATTGACGGTGACGGGGTGTGTAAGGCTTTGGTTCTAGAAGTGACAAAGAATACGGGATGGAGGGCCGAGTACGGTGAGAAGCTTTTGCTGGTCTTTGGTTGGTCTCTTCCTGGTGGTGTTCTATTTCGCTCAATCGCCACAGATGAGTCAAGTTAGCTCTCTGCCAGGTGAAAACTGACTGGATTTCTGATAGGAAGTGCCCAATTGGAGAGATGCGAATGATTCGGTCTCGCGGGAAGCTAGTATCTGCCGTGGCGGGGGCAATTGGGGAGGTTGCTCATCCGCTGTCAATCAAAGTTTCGAACAACGCAGACAGATAGACCAGTACGTAGACCAAACTAGAAGCACCGTTAGGGTCACCTTAGGCCCAACATACTCGCCAGAAACGACATCTGAGAGGGCGAAAGAGATCCGTAGAGTTCGAGAACAGACATTGAGCACAGAGAATTAGGGCGGGAGTAAAAAAGGAATGGGCGGAGTCTAAATAGAGTTTGGCTGCTTAGACTCAAACGGGACAACCACTGAACCACAGACCAAACACTTTCCCCTCCCTTTCCTCACGCAGCAGCTGATTTCTGCAACAAATGTGGCTGATTGGAACGAATGAGAGGGCGCTGTGTATGTTAGCCAGCCCTTCTCGAAGGCGGCTCCGAAACACTCGGGTTGTGTGAAACATCACAGCGTAAATCCCGGAGCAGCAGCCGGTTAGGGACAAGGGTCGCGAAGAGGCGGGGACCATTGGCCGAGCCACTCGGTGCCCGGAGCACTAGCAGCATGGACTACCAGCTAGAACACGAACGGTCGCTTTTCGTTTCCTTCTCCCCCCCCCCCCCCCAATAACACGGACTCTGTGGCCCTGTGTTCCTGCAGCTTGTCAAGGGTATCCACATTGATGACGGAGCGAGAGATTAATCAACATGAAGAGGTGGACGAAGACGGAATGGGGGAAGACGCACTGATCGCTTTGATGGACCTTCTCCGGATCGGCTAAGTGGTTGGGGGGATATTGGCGGGATGGACCTGCAGACCTAGTCCCGTGAAACATGACAACCGACATCATGACTGCTTGAATCTGCCGCTAGAACTCTAAGATCTTCCCACTGGTGATGCAGCGGCGCGGGTTCAAAGGCCGAGAGCTGCTGGGGTACACATTTGCCAAGTCGAGTCTATACATATGCTTATGCCGGTAAATAAGTGACAGGGGAGCTCCACATGACCGTGATATCTAGCGTCTGGGTAGATCCTTTGCTCATTAAGCTTGGAATCACATAGGCGTATATCCTTAGGCGCGGAGCAGAGGACTACTCAGGCTAAGAGGTGATGGAGGGAAGGGCATCGACAGAAAGTCAGAAACACGGCCAATCAGCTCACAAGCGCACAGAACATAGCGCGCACACTCACACACCGCTTCCTGGCCTTTTCCATCCCATCCACAAAACCTCGCAACACTTGGACGGGAGGGTGCTTCTGCAGCACTGCAGCAATAGAAAGTGAGGGGGGGAAGACAACAGGGAGGGAGGGAGCTTTGTCCGCCCCGGAGCCCCCCTTGACGTCTTTTACCGGAAGTGTGATCATTCTTTGCATCTGAAGCAAAGACCAGTTATCCTTGATGTGTCAAGAACCATGGGGCAAACGCAACGAACGGGTCCCCTGGGATGGAAGGTTGATAACGTTGTTTCCTCCCACCTCGCTTGTGATGCTTCTCCAAAGTCGTCTCCACCACCACCGAACTCGAACATCCAACAAAGACAAGGGGTTGTTGAATTCTCTCTTTCAACACTCATTCTCGGGAAATTCTACGAGTTACATGCGCGTCCGGTGCGGCGACTTGGCGACCTTGGCTCCTTGGCCCCCCCAGTACCGAGAAAACTACGTCGACTCGGACACATATAGCTCATGTTAGACGGCCATAGCTATATGGAGCTGTGAAAAGCTGAGGGCATAAAATAAGGGAAGCAGCTGATACTCCGTTTCGGACTTTCGATATGCGACTATCAACATCGTCAGCGGCCTCTCTTGGCCTGCTATGGATCACATTCACTCTGTCATTTGTCGGCGCCGTAGCGACAGCCGGGGAGGAGTACTATGCTGGAGAACACGTTCATTTGATTGCCAGGCAACAGCTTCCTGATCTGAGCAACATATCAACCTGTGGTGTAAGTTCGGCTTGTTGTTGGGAGGCTCCTTTCGCTCGGTTGCTTTTCCGGAATGGAATCCACTTTGGCTAACACTCTGGCGCCCAGTTGAACTGCCTTGTACAGGGTATCGCAGGGGTCGGATGCGACCTCACGAACACAACTTGCTCCTGTGCGAGCACTGGTCTGGGTCAACTCGTTGGCCCATGCCTGATTGCAAACTGCACCATGCAAGACTCTCTGGGTGAGTACTTCCAGAGCTGTGATGACCGTGTAGAAACAGAGGAAGACTGACGAGGCAATAAGATGTCGCTAAACTGCAACAAACGCAGTGCAATCTCCCTCACGAATCCGACACTGGCAAAATTCTTGCCATTCTCATCACCGTATATGTTACGGCTGTCATTGCGATTGTCTTGCGGCTTCTTGCGAAAAACATGGCAAAGACCTGGAGTCTCGACGATGCGTTGATTATTGCGGCGATTGTCATTGCGATTGCCCCGGTATCTGCAATTCTTTTGAGTAAGTTTTTTCTCTTTCTTTTGCGGCTGCCTTGGATACGTAACTAATTGTCAACAGTGTCAAGCTTAGGATTTGGGAAGCACCTTTACGACCTCAAATCGGGTGGCTTACTGCAGATTCTGCGACTCCGTAAGTATCTCCCATTCATGTTGAGGTCATCCTCTCATATCTCTTTGCAGTGTACGCCGCCGAGATTGTGTACGTCTTTGTGCTCTTATTCGCGAAGCTATCCCTCGTCGTCTTCTATCTACGAATCTTTACCGTACCCAAGTTCCGCATCGCTGCATACACCCTAATCGGATTCCTCATCGTCGGCCAGGTGGTCATCGGCTTCCTCACTATCTTCTCGTGTCACCCGATCGAGTTATTCTGGAACAAGGACATCCACACAGGCGCCTGCCTCGACGTCAACCAACTTGCCTATGCGAACTCTGCCTTGGCTATCATCCAGGACCTTCTTATCCTCGCCCTCCCGATAGCGATGCTTCCAGGCCTGCAAATGAACCGGAACAAGAAGGTTTCGGTCGCCATGGTGTTCCTCCTCGGATCCGTCGGCTTTGTCTCGACCATTATCCGACTTCAGGTCCTGGCGGTTTTTGGAAATTCCATCGACCCGACATGGGATTACGCGCCCGTTGTGTGGTGGACGACAATCGAACTAGGCGTTGTCGTCGTTTGCGCTTGTGCGCCCATGATTCGCAACCTTGTCGAGAAGAAATTCCCCGGCTTCGCGCTCTTCGCGAGGTGGACCACCCCAAAGTCATCCAAGGGCAGCAGCCCATCCTCGAACGGCAGCGTGGACAAGCCAACAAAGGCTGCTGGGCGATATCAGAAGTTCGGGCGGAGTAACAGCCCGCCTCAATTTAGCGACAATTACGTTCGTGATTATATCACGAGCCCCAAGGGGCCGCCAGTACCCCCCAAGGACGACTTGCCCCCGTCGCGTAGGTACCGGGATATATACGCCTATGGTGGCTCCAAACCGAAGATGCTCGGGCCCTCGTCGCCGTCGCCTCAGCCATATGACCTCTCGTGGAGGTCCACGAACCCTTATGGGATTCCGAAAGACGACTTGGAGTCAGGTATTGGAAAGACGAACTACAATCTCGATATTGAGATGCTGGAAAGGAAAGGGAGGGACGTAGTAGTGGCACAAAAGGAGCTTTGCTCTCTCTGCGGGAGAGAAAGCTGCAGTCATATGTAATGAAGTTATTTTCCGTCCGTTTTATAGATATCCATTTGTTTATATATTAATTATCTCTTGATCGCTTCAACCACTATTCCTCGTTCACTCTTGTTGTTTCGCCCGGTGATGCTTCCGGAAGGACCCATATTTCAGCCGGACGTGGTCCCGGAGCGGCCCGGAACGGACCGACCATGTCAATGATATGTTCAGCTGGTCAGCCACCATATTTGCGTGCAGCATAAGCAAGCCACAAGACTCAAAGATACGAACCGCATCCATCGTAATCTTCTTATCCTGGACAGATTGATGATTGCAACCTCAGCAGATAGGGCCCATGGCTTTCCGCCTCAATTCTTATCTGCTCGCTGAAGCACTCACTAGCCTAGTCGTCATTCTCTTAAAGCCCAACTAATGCCGCAGAAAATGCATGATGCGAGTACTGCATAGCTCTACTGCAGACAACTCCTGGGAAAGTCTACAACGTTCGTCTGCTTTGACGTCGACACACAAACGATGCACAAGCATTGACCGAGTTTCGCCACCTCCCGCAGCTGCCTTGCACCTCCAACTCACTATTCCGAATCAGGAGCTCTCCGAAGCTTTAACTGTCCTAATCTGGATACACGCCCGCGTCGCAGCTTCGCCTCACAGCTCTTTTGCGCGACACGATGCGTGCATTCTCCCTCTCTCTGAGCCTGTTCAAGGCACCGCTCGGTCTTGTAGCCCTGCTACTGGTCGCCCCGGTCGTGGGACATGGCGATGGTGATCTTCAACGTTACATGGCCCTGGAAACATGCCCGCCGCTGAAAATTGTCAATGGGATCAACTTCACCACGCGGGCGTATTGGATGCGCCAGGCCAACCTGGCTCTGCCCAGCCCATGCCCGTTCGCGGCCTTTGGCTCAGTGATCGTAAACCACACTACGGGCGGCTTGGGGAAGCTGGTCTGCACCGGCGCAAACAACAATGCTGGCACAGGCAACCCGACTCTGCATGGTATGAATCTCACCTCACACAACCCAACAAAACTTTTATCTTTTCTGCAAGGGTAGTTTGCTGATCATGAAGCAGGGGAGATGGCTGCCATCGACAATTGCTCGGCAATCTTTGTAGATCCCCAGGGTCCATACCGGATGACGCCGGCCCAGGCCCTTGCCGCCTTTGCCAACCTGACCATCTACACCAACGCCGAGAGCTGCCCCATGTGCGCGTCGGCGGTACGCTGGGCAGGCTTCAGGGAATACGTCTTCGGCACGAGCATCGAGACGCTCACGGAGGAGGGATGGGGTCAGATCCAAATCACGTCTAGGGACGTCTTCCGGCAGTCCTCGGGCTTACCCCGCCGAACAAGGTTGCTTGGTCCGGTCTTGACGAACGAGACGGATCCCTTCTTCAGTTGGCAGTTTAATGCGGGTGCGCCCTGCCCGCAGGGCTGTTCTCGGGGCGGAAGTGCAGGCGGTTGCGTTCCTGCATAATAGGCGTCGGTCGAGTGCACTCGGTTTGGGTGGAATTAGGTTGCGGTTCTGCTCTCAAGAACCCCTCCAACTTAAGCAACTTCGCCGGGCTTGTTGCAAGGGGGTTTTCTAGTCTCTTGGTTTCATCACATTGATCATCGAAAGCATTTGGGTGCTGCTTGCTCGAGGTGGCTTCCTCTTTCGTTCTTAACGTGGGAACTCCGAGCCGAGCTCATCTGCCGAGATTGTCAGACAAGGACAAAGAACACCATGATCCCGTTGGAAAACCTGTGATACGAAAGCATTATTGAGAGATGATTAAACTCGGCATAAGGAGTTCAGTTGCAATAAAAAACAGTAATGGGACATTAGACAACTGGGTCGGACACGAGATGTCTGCGCGAACAAAAATCAAAAGAAACTCGCCCTCACCAGAGAGCTTCCTGAGATGTACGCCTGTGTGATCACGACGGTTTAACTGACCCCCACCTGATTTGAACAGATAACCTTGAACGCAATCGCACGTACCCCCTCAAAACAGAGCAGCGAACCGACACGCCTCCCGGGCATACAGGGCAAAAATATTGACCCCCACCTGATTTGAACAGATAACCTTTCGATGGCATCTCGAAGAATCTCGATCTGGAGTCGAACGCGCTACCGTTGCGCCAGAGGGCCGATGAAGATCGCATTGATTATCGTGAGCTCAAGTGGGCAGTTGCCGTGGGCCTCGTCTATTCAGGCGAGGGCTAGACCCGCTCCATTTCGTCGTTATGGGGCAAAGTCTTCGGCAACGGTGGGCTCCATCTGCTCAGCTTGCTTCACAGAGCGAGGCGCTCTCTTCATGGGGGACTTGCCTATGATGTGGCTGATAATTACATACAAATATCAACTTGCAAAACTTGCAGAGACAGTCAGACTGAGTCTTGTGTTTCAAAGAGAGGCTACAATACACGAGTTAGATAGTTTGTTCGAAAGGGGAAGACTGCAACGATACGATAAGTCGGGCAATGTTATTTCGTCTTGAGAAACTCGGAGTAGTCCTAGCAAGTGAAGCCAAGAGAGCTTATGTGCCCGATCCCAGATGAAGGGACAATATCTAATGGGAAGCCCTCCTCAGCGGTCGGGCTTTTTTCATCCATGAGCACATGGTTGACGCGTATTCATTCCATTCTGATGGCTAGTTCTCCAGCTCTATCTGCTCGTCTTACATTACTGAGCACAAATCTCCCCAATCAGTTCTTTGATCTACGAAGATGGAAAACACAGGCTGCCCTTCTAACATCCTCGTCTCCATCCCCAGGCTTAACACCACCGGTCTATCCTCAACCCGCCTACTCATACCAAACGTAATCCTCGTCTTCATAACCCCACGCTCGCTGCCAAACATGCGCAACTTCATCATATCGCCGCTCATTGCAGTTTGGAAAATGTGTTTCGTCTCGTTTTTGTTAGCTGCAAGACACACCCAAGGATTCGCACCACCTCCGGTGAAACCACACGCGACGATAAAGTTCTGGTCAGCCGCGCCAGACGTCCGGTACTGAACATATCCGTCAAACGTGTCTAGTCCTTGTGTGATAAACATGCGCCGGGACGAGCTCCACATGCCGTCGGGATGGGCCTTGACAAACTCCACCCCTGGCGGCGTGGGCGGGAAGCAGAAGGCGTTGCGGTAGATGGAGTTCATGTCCCCGACGAGCGTCTCCGCCACGTCTGGCTCAAGGAATTTGCTGATGAACATCGTGTGGTTGACGCCCGGTGCGCTGTGCTCCAAACTCCATAGCCGGCCGGTCTTCCAGCGGAGGAAGACGTTTCCGCCTTGATCTCTGAGAAGAATTCCGAGGTGACGACGGCCTGGATCGCTGGATCTGTGGCAGCGGAGACTTAGGAAATGCGCGCCGTCGGGCATTAGACTGGTTTCGGTTGTGATTTTCAAGCCTTTATTTGTGATGGCGTACTTGAGAAGTTGGCATCAGTTCTTTGAACGTTACACAGCTGAAAACTCGGGGGATGATTCGAGACGTACCTCGGGGTTGTACTTGATGTCGCTACTGAGTACGATATCATTCGCTGTCTCGAAAGCCGATGGAGACATAGCTAGAATCCCGAAAAAGCCCAGTGGAGATTCTGCTGGTGCAGACCAGGCAAAGATGGACAAGTCGTTAGTCTCCTTGATGATCTCTTCCTGAAGTCGGATGAACGCTCTGTTTCCCTCCCCATACAGAAGCGGCATCTTGACTCCAAAAACTCCCAGCAGACAGTACGCCAGATCTTCTTCCCTTTTGGTTGTGCGCCCAGATGCCCAAGACATTCTTCTCGCAACGGGTATTGTCGTTAAAAGGCCTTCCACTCTCCCGCTTCCTGCCACGAGGATGCTCTTGTCAATGTTTGTGCGTCGTTGGATAATGTCGCATAGATCGGCTCGACTTCCGATGTAGTTCCAGTCTTTATCAAAAAACTCAACTCGCGAGGGCGCGATGAGCTCCTGCAAAGTCCATCCACGAGTGAACCACTGGGATTGTTGAAGAGACACCCCGTCAACGCCCACATCCGACAGGTACGCGTAGCAGAATGAAGATCGCGCATACCACTTGAACATGGAATTGATGGCTTCCGTCAGCTCTGTGAAATCCTGTTTGTTAATGCAACAAGTATCAACCCAGGCATATTTGTAACCTTGCTGCAACGCGAGGCGACAGAAATACTTAATCTTTTCCCATCCTTTCTTGCGTGCTATCACGTCCGGTTTTCCAAAATCTTGATAAGTAGCCTCTTCATGATCGGCTTCCCATCGGTGGGAAAGAATGGCGTAAGACTCGGGTATGGACAACCCCGAGAACTCCTCAATCTGTAGACTCGAGCAATTGAGGAGCTTCATGATGAAAGAGGCATTGAGGCAATGAAGCTGGAGCGATGCGAGAATCTGAAGAGGATCTCGAAAGAACATGAATTCTCAGCCCCAAATCTTACCCACATACGAACTAGTCTTCTCTAGGAAGATCTTCGTTACCTCTCGTCGTAAGCTTGGCGAACTGGTATCAGGCAGCCGCCCAATGGTAGGATGCCTCGTAATCCATTGATGACCGCAGGTGGGTCTTAAGGCTTACAAGCAAACGAAATAGCTGGCGAGACTGTTCTATCCATTCGTTTGGCGTCAGCTTTTTAGTGCATGGAAAAGAAACGACACCCATGTTATGGTTCTGTCTTAAGTTGCCTTTGAAAGTTTGCATGCCAAGACACTCGGATAAGGTCAATATTTTGTTGCGTATGTTCTCCTCTTAAATGCGTCTTGATTGAATGAAACTCCAAAAGGAAAGCACGGCGATTCACGAAGAGTGATTTTCCTCGGTTTATGATGAGATGAGGGTTATAAGAGCCATTCTTGACCGACAAAACTCATCATCTTATTCATCGTACGGATCACCCTTTCCATGCTTATGGCTCTCCATGGTCTCATCGTAAGGGTCTTTCGAAGTACTCGAGCTCGCGCTTTTGTGATTGGCACCCGTCTGCGCATCAGTCATACTCTGGTCTTGGTGATTATGAGGCTTTGCGATGTGAAGCTCGTCTGAGTGAAGCGCAACACCAGCCTCGGCGGCAATATGATCCAGAGGATCCCTCATCAAAAACATGGTCATGCAATGATTGATGTGCATGAGGGTATCGTAGCGTTTTTCAATGATAAGCATGCCGTCCTTGCCGCAAGATGCGCCCGCGACTCCTTGGGAACAGCGCGCTGCCTCCCACATCTTGCGCCAGTAGAACACGCAGTGCACAAGATGCCATTGATGCGTGGTGAAAAAGCGAGCATGTTGACCATGGCGGGCTGCCTCTGGGAGTTGGCTCACTTCCTCCAGAGTCATGGGGTGCGTCTGGTTCTTATCGTGCCAGTAACCCCAGGTGTTGCCCGTGGTGTCTGGCTCATTCGGGCCTAGAGACTCGAACTCTGCAGTCAACTCAGGAGACCGACAATGTGGAGGAAGCCAGGCGGCGGCAAGTGAATCGTATACGCAGCCGTTTGCGCGGGCTTCTGCAATTGTTTCACCACAATTGCACGACATGCCCCGCGGTTGAGAGTTGGATGGGGAGTCTGATGTGAGGAGGGAGTAGAGACCGTAGGCCGCTAACAACACTGTCAAGAGACGACCTGCGTATGACACAGCTTGCCCAAAGACATGAGTTTTGCTTTTTGATGAGACTTCAATCCCATCTTCAGCACGGGTCTCGGTATTTTCGTCTCTCGGAAGCCGAGCGTACTCCCCTTTGTCCCTGTTTGACCATGGCATAGTCAACACTTGGAGGCTTAAGGTCAATGTTGTTAGCAAAGTAAGTAAAGTAGGCAGCTTCCTCTGTCTCGTGATGCACCTACATTCTAGACATTCTTGAATCTCTTTGATTCTCAATCTTAGTGTTGAACATGTCAAGGCATGAACGTTTTCAGGATGGCGTGTGTAGTTGCTCCCATGTGTAGGAAAGCAGAAACGACAGGAATGTACGGGACCATGGGCATAGACACCGCCTGCAGTTCCTCGTCGTTGTCTACCAAAGCTGGGATATCGCGCCTAGAATAGATGTGTACAGGTTATGCACACATCCAGAAGGTGTTGCATGTCTGACGCAATCCCATATCGACGCTAGGAAACATGATTCAGCAGAAGCCCGAAGGATTCGAAGGGAGAGCACAGCTTATCGACCCCACGAAATCGCTGCTTAATGTGCTTTACTTTGTCTCCAACCCCGCTTGCACCCTAAGCCCAAGATAGAAGCTGAAATGATGCGATCTACAACGTCACGGCCCGGTAGCGGGCCGTTTGTGGGCAAGATGCGGGCTGACGCTGCGTTTATGCGGCACTTTTGTTGTTGTCTACTCACATCTCATGCAATGCGCTGTCGTCATCACGAGTTACGGCTCGAATGTAACATAAAATCCGCTTCACACATCATCAAAGACTTTGCCAAGCTTCCTTCAGGATGCATTTGCTCAAATAATGGTACCTGAATGGGCGTCTCGTATTCCTTACCTGGAGATGCTTTCTGGCTATGATAGCACCCGGACAGAAACAAAAGCGTTCAAGCTTTTCTGGAATTAGGTTTCCCAGCTAACGATGAGGGACGATCGTCCGGCATGATGGCGTAGCAATAGAACTTACTCGCCTGATATCAACCATTCTTGGGTACTATCGAGTGAGCGAACATGCACCAGATAGGAAAATGATTTGGGCTAGATACATCACTTCCTGAGATGCAGTCACCAATTGAATATCTTAGTTGCGACTAAGCGGTAATGAGCGTATTCTATCAATCTAGCTTAACCCTCTCAGCTCCAGGTTCTTGCTCTACAAGTCCACTCAGCCCCTTGAGGTTGAAGCCATGATAAGTGAAGGTTCCTGAATCAAGACCTCCCACATATCCTCCGTGTTCCAGATCTGCATCTCGAGTGATACGGCTTCTAGAGCACGCCATTTAAACCCCCTACTTAAGGATAGAAGGGAATTGCCTCAGCTTCCGCATCGGCAGAGCGCTTCGGGTAGAAGGGGATGGCCTCGGCCTCAGCCTCCGCGCCCCTCTTAGGATAGAACGGAATGGCTTCAGCTTCGGCGTCAGCACCTCTCTTGGGGTAGAAAGGGATGGCTTCGGCTTCCGCATCAGCACCGCGTTTGGGGTAGAAGGGAATGGCCTCAGCTTCCGCGTCTGCACCTCTTTTGGGATAGAATGGGATGGCTTCAGCCTCCGCATCTGCTCCTCGCTTCGGGTAAAAGGGGATGGCCTCAGCTTCGGCGTCGGCTCCGCGCTTGGGGTAGAAGGGAATCGCCTCTGCGTCTGCATCAGCTCCCCTCTTTGGGTAGAAGGGAATGGCTTCGGCTTCGGCATCTGCTCCTCTAACGTCTGCAGAGGTCACTCAAGTCAGTCATCTTTTCCTCATTGAAGCACCTGGTCTTTCAAGATCATATACCGAGAGGGGCGGCAGCCGCGAGGCCAATGGCGGCAAGAATGAGGTACTGAGCACGCATTGTAACTTTGAGCTGGACGTAGTCTATAACAGAAATGGTGATAGGACTTGGAAATGAATTTATCAAGAGAAAGCTTGGGAGGCGTTCCTTGTATATGGTATTTGAAGAAGACTCAGGATTACTGTTGCATCATCTGCAATGAGCCAATGGTGCTCTAATTGTGATGGCTTTAGCCACCAGTGACAAAACCTGCCTGGAAGCAGGATCGGGCGGGATCGCGTCAGTCTGGTCGCTCAATTAGCACTTACAAATACGGAATACCCGGTCTCCTGCAGATGCAGCCAAATGGTCACGAAGATGTTAACAACCGGATTGAGACTGTTACAAACGAGGAAGGTTGCATCGGATGCTTCAAGATGGGCAATAGAGTTGACGACATTTGGATCATCTAGAGGTTTCACCGACGTGCCAAGGCAGACGACGGATTCGAAGGATCCTTCTGCGTCATGTACTAAGTGGAGTTGTCGGAGTTGATAGTCGCAATCCCGCCCGCCTACTCTTATCTTTCAGGCAGGTAGATATTCAAGCTTTCAAAGTGCAATGGCGAGAGTGTGTGCCTTACATGAAATGATTGGGCAAGCTGCATTTGCTCGGTCGCTTGCTTATGCTGACTAGATCGCATCTCTGCGCAACTACCATAGTGAGAAAGCCATATTCTCGCTCAACTGCAGAACTCATTCACTTTCGTGGCCTGCTTGTTAGATTTGATATCTTCTCGCACTTGGGTTGTTGAAACACAGTACTACGATGAATGAAATGCAGCAACCACTAACGGACTCAACGGGAGTTTCACACGAAGAAGATGGTATCTCAGGAAGTTTAGAAGAGAATGACGACATTGAAAAGGCTCTACTGCCTTCCAAGGACGCGAAGACAGGATCTCGAACTGTTGGGAAGGAGACTTCATGGTTGAAGCTCGGCAGTAAAAAGCAATCTCTCGTGACTTTTCTCAACATTTCACTCTTTACTGCATCTTTCACTTTGTGGCTACGGTCTGCCCCGATGAGGCATCCCCTGAATGTTCAGGACTATTGGAAGGAAACCTCCTTTTACTGTGAGTAGCCCAAAATGTGAACATTTTCAGCCGAGGATACTAAGAAACATTCATTCAAGCCCCTATCCTTGAGCACTTCGATATACCAAGAATCAGCAGAGTAACGAACGGCACTTTATATGACACGAATCCACCGTCAGTGCTTCGCCAGCGAATTGGCAAAGAGGCCGATAAGGAGTGGCATCGCATCGGCGACCATGTCTGGCCTCTAGTCATTGGGGAAGCGGATGTGAGGCAGCTTGGAAAGGATCCACGTGTCGCAGTCAAGATTCCAGAAGCTCTTGGCTACGGTTCAGATGCATACATCGCGCAGACAGAAGTTTTCCATCACCTTCACTGCTTAGACATGCTGCGGAGGGAAGTGTCATACGAGCATTGTAAGTATCTCATTATGAAGTTAATACGCACCCCTAACGCCCGAGTCTAGATTATGAGCCAAAGGAGGGACCCAGGCCAGGAGGAGATCAACATCAAGCCCACATCGGCCACTGTTTCGATATACTTGCCCAAGCCATCAAGTGCACCGGGTCGGTGGACATGATTACTTTCAATTGGGTTGAGAATTGGGAGCAACCATTCCCAGATTTCAGGAATCATAAAGTGTGCCGTGACTTCGATGCGTTGTTGGGCTGGGTCAATGAGAACTCCATGGACCCGAAGGTCTTTCAAGAAATGAAGGCGCCTCCGCCTGGGTGGCCTGTCATGCCGGAGCCAGGCCCGGCATCGTGATGATCAAGTAATGAGGCGGCGAAGGAAACTCGATCCTGTTTTGACACAAGTACTATGGGGTAGACAGGAAAACACCAAGAAACAGTTTGATGATAATCTGGTTGGACCATGATTTGCTGTGGCCAACTCGGGCTTTGTTTACATCCGATCCTAGCCGCTTTCTGCTCACTGTGTTGGCGCACGTGAGAATCGATTTGATTGCGTGATTGAGCGGCTATTGCTCCGCACTTTGACCTCGAGCCATCCCGTCGGCCAGACTTGAATCATGAACTTCTCAAACTTCTAAAGGAACAACATAGCCATCACCAGGACATCTCGCAGCACCTCACCATGACCATGGTTACCCAATCCACGCCTCCGACCCCGCAGACGGATCTCAAGACGGTGGTTGAAGCTCGGACTCGGGAATGGCATTTCCACATTTACTTCCTCCTACAATCCCCGACTGAGACCGCTGCTGCCCTTGCTCTTCGTGATGCCGTGTTGAGATTGCGACGCGACGGTAAGTTCGGGATGGATACATCGGCTGGACGAGATTGGATAAAATGTTACTGATACCCATGTTTAGGCGCGTTCGTTGCCGTCCCACTATTCAGGGTCAACGAGTTCCCTATCGGACCACACCCAGCAGGATCCTATGAGAGTGAGTAGTGGTCCCAAAGCTCACTGCATGCCTAAGGCAACGAGGTCGACTGACGGATGGTTCGCGTGTAGTCTGGGTTCCTGACTCCTCATTCTCTGATGTCTTTTTCTACTTGGCGGCAAACCGAGGCAACTTGAGGTAAGACCAGACCTTGACCCAGCATTATGACCTGCTTTTATGCTTATATGTACTGAAAAGTGTCCTTGTTCACCCGTTGACATCGAGTCAACGTCGAGACCATGAGACAAGGAATGCCTGGATGGGTACCCCGTGGCCTATCTACCTCGACAGCTTGCCATCCGATGGCGATGTTCCTCTTCAATATCCCGAACTGGGTCTTGGTTGGTCCACTTCGCCGGAGCAGGAGATATCCTTGGAGGAAAGGTTGAGAAGGGGTGCAAAGGTTGAGGCTCTGTTAGCTGATGACCCAGAGGCTGCGCCTGCGCCTAAGGATTAAGGGTTTCTCAGCTCCGACAGTGCGCGCCAATTGCGATGCTAAATTAATTTGATAGCGTTAGAATGTCGCCTCGCTGAAGTATGAGAAGCTTCCAAGCGATGTCGCCCCGCGATGCGGGTTGTGGGTTGTAAGTGACTTGGAGCACATCTGACATAAAAAGCGATTAAGTACAAGCCATTGATGCTTGCCTTTGTGAGCCATAAGCTGTGTACAAATCCGCCGCAATTCCGATCCGTCATACCTATCACTCGGACATGCCGGCCACGGCCAGCTAGAACGTATGGCAGGAACAATGAGTTGTCAACTTGTCCACTATTGTCAGATGAATGAGTGGGCTGCTCTCAATCTGCTGCCCAAGTTGTGCGACTATAATCTTTCAAGTTCGCGTAGCATCTCGACCCAAACGAAAATGTACAGGCGAGTCGCAGAGTTTGCCTTGCTACAGAGATGTTTGCTCAAGTCTGCCGTTCTTGTAACACGTCGCGTGGGACGAGACATTATGGAACATGTCCAGTACTCTGCACACAGATATATGACGGCATCCCGCGAAATGATGTTCGCGATAGTCTTCAACGCATCTGGCATAGCCTGGTGCAACTTTCTTAGAGTTCGTCACATCCGCTAGAAGCATATTCATGAGAAATCGAGTAAGTCTTGACCTTTGAACTAGAATAGAATGACACATTTGATGTCTTGGGTTGACTGACTCTAACCTCGCCAGACAATTCCACAATAACGTTATCGATTCAATATAAACATGAAAAGCGCCATCATCATTGTCGCTGTGGGTCTCGCTCAAACGTCCTTGGCCGCATTTTGTGCCGCGTCCGCGTATCTTGGAGCAGGACGACCTGGCAGCTGTACCGGACAAAATCTGGGTTATGGGAATTCGTCACGACCAGGGGTTAGCGAATGCTTCGAGGCAATCAACGGCGCCTGTGGGTTGGTCACAGATCGAACTGTTGGGGGAGGCTGTAATTGCACTGTAAATTACTTCTCTGGAGGAGATTGCAATCGCACTTCCGTGGGGTCTCTGCGCTGTAACAGGGTTGGTGCTTCTCTGCAAGTCAACTTTGATCACTTTAATATTCGCTGCCCCAAAGACGGAAGTGCAGAAGAGGGTTCTACTCAGGTATCGCACTGGTTCATATAAGAAAATTCTAGCCATGTCGGAGAACTACAATCGTTCTACCGGAAACATTGCCTAATAACGCAAACAACATGTTCAATTTCAATCGTTTTGGGTCGAGAACCATAAAGTGAGGTATTCGAAGGGTGTCCTCCAGCGGCTCCAGGGGCCGGGCATTCAGCTCTAGCGTTCCCCTGGACCCAGCGCTTCTACTAACGATCTCACTGTCTTCCCATCAATTTTAGATCAATCAAAAGGTCACAGAGAGAACTGAGAGAAGAGCGGATGAACTCAAGCAGCAATCTCCCATTTAAGATGAGCACACATTTATTACGTTCATGCACGCTGCGTTTACTTCTTGTGTCTGTATGGTAGAAGATGAGGTATAATAGTGCGAATAAGAATGTAGGAATATCCCACCTAAGAGGGTTATCACAGAGTACCCTATTTACAGTGACAGTCCCCATCCCATAGCAAGCAGCTACTGAGCATAACATCTACTCACCAGGGGTACTTCCGGACTTCGTCCTCTTTGCTCAAGTCCAGCCCTCTATCCAGCTGTTTCTGATGCTCATTATCAAGGTATTCCAGCAATACCTTCTCATACATTTCACGCCCTTTGTAGTTTGCAACTGTCTCATCCCAGCTACGAACAGCACTAGCGAGTCTTCCCGGCACGTAATCCTCTGCAGCCAGTTCGGTGACTGGATGAAAGTACGTTCTTATCGTGAAGACAATGGCTTTGCTCTTGGGCAGACGACGCAGCGATTGCCTCTCAGAACGGAAATAGTGATGCTCAACCGCTCTATCTTTCTCAGCCGTACTCCAGCTGACAACGGGACTATCCTCTTCACCAATGCTCCAGCTCCAGGGCAAAGAGTCATCGACCTGAATGAAGTAGTTGTTGCGGGAGTAAATCTGGTCGCAGCGCAGACGCTTGAAGAAGCTGGCCATGCCGTTGTGCAGCTTCTCCTTGTAGTGGGGGACCTCGCCAGACGTGTGGATCTCCTCGAGAGACATCCCAAACTTGTCGCTCAATCTCCAGAAGCCGGCTAGCAGGATAGAACCGCTTAGTAAGTAATACTTGCCGTCGGGCCGTTCGATCATGATGGCGAGGTCGTCTTGCACAAGCCTGGCAGCGATGGCGGCTGGATCTTCCTTGAGAGGTGTTTCGACGATGTTGAATGATTCCCCCGACCAGAGATTGTCGATGCCGACGGCGGTCCGTTTGAACATTGTAGGGTACCGAGCCGGAAGGTATTGACACAATTCTTCTAGGAGCTCCATGGCTGCAGGGTAGGCCTCCGGATCTGTTCCGAAGCACTTTTCACCTCGTTCAGCGATTCGAGCAGTCTTATCGGCATGGTATCGAGGATAGTGGTTGTCCAGCTCAATCCAGTCCTCAGGCTGGACTGAACGAAGGCCCATGGTGACATTGTATTTGGGGCCGTAACGAAATGCGCGATAGGGCAGAGGCTTTGTCGTTTCTACTGACCAGTCCGGGTAGGAACTGGGAATTGGCATCTGCCATGTTTCTGAAGCTTGTTTGGACTTTTCAGATTGTGGTGTAGAGGATGTCTTATTGAAGAGGGCTCCTCTTCGCAGTCGCAGCGCGCTGAGCGATCGTGAGAGTATAGCTGCTGAGAAGAGGGCGAAGAGCCCGACGAGGAGTTTCCAACCATCTGAGGGGAGTTCCGATAACGCTAATAGCGCCATATTGAGATACTCTGTGCGGCCTGTAGTTTGGTAGTTTACCAATTCAGGGGGAACAAGAGGCAGCCAAGGTGTGGGAGAGGCCTATCTATGCTGGGAATAGTTGGGGTGAAGGGAGTGTCAAAAGGCTAAGATGTTCACTACTGGATCCAAGGAAACTGCAGAGCATTATCACTGCAGCCACGTTTTCGAATCAGCTACGCATTAGGAAATACCTTCCAGTAAAGAATCTGGTTCCGCTATCCGGTCGGCGCCCCGTCCCACGCCCGTATCTCTTCTCCAGACTCGTCCCCGCAAGATCGGCTCCCTCTGCGAACCGATTCTCCACTCGACCGTTCCGAGTTGGACGGGGGACGCGCTTTACCGGAACGGGAAATTTTATCCTATCGTCCTATCTTCCGGGGGCCCTTCTTTAGCAAACTCGCGGGAGTGAAACCGAACCTTGTTCCCGGATGTCTCCAATGCCTAGAATGAAGAGGCTTTCTTAGAGGCTTGGGGTATTGCCTAAAGAAGCATTTCTACACTGATGGATAGAGCTCTATATATACCAGGTGAATGGGCAATGTTGGAGATATGGTAAAATAACACACCTAATAAAGATTTGACATCATCATACTTACCACTATTTTCCCAGTAAATAACATCAAATATTTATCATCACGATGGCCGCTTTCCAACATTACGCTAAGGCCCAATCAACCTTCCAAATCCCCCTTCTCGCGGGTGACAACGCTTACCTCGGAGATGTCTTCTCAAGCGACGAGTCGAACCCCGAGAAGCCCATTTCATCCGGCCTCTTCCGTTTGAAGAAGGGTGAACCGCTTACATACACCTACAAGTACGATGAGATGAAGATCATCCTTGAGGGCGACTACACGATATCAGACGAGACGGGCCAGAAGGTCGATGCAAAGCCCGGCGATGTCTTCCACTTCCCCAAGGGCTCAACGATTACATTCACCACCAGCGACTACGGTCTGGCGTTCTACGTTGGCCAGCGCAAGAAGAGCGACTTCTGAGGGGATGTTGGATGTATCAATGATGGGGTGTGGATGAAGAAAATGAGAACGATGTCACATGGACCCAGGACGACGATAACATGAGATAGAAGATGACGGAATAGGAAGATAGAATGTCATCGCAAATCTACATGGTTTCCAAATGGCCGTTTATCCCAGACCCTGCAATATGTCCGTGTCGTGGCTAATTACCCTAACGCCTAAAAGATCAGACCTGTGCCCTACGCATTCTAAACCTTTCCAATAAGATGATCCACTGCGCTTCATAACATAAGGTAATTTCTATAATCACCCAAACATTGAACGTAAGTCGTTATCTTCCATCACGTCAATCCAGTGAACCGTGGGCGATCCGATATCGTTATCGTACGCCCTCCAAACAGTCTGGACAAGATCCTTTGCTACCACGACTGGGGTCGGAGGTAAGCTGCTCTCCAGGATACTCAGACGCCTCATGACGAAGTGGCGAGCACTCCCAACGTCAAGTGTCATATTGGACATTGAACCCTCCCGCGTCGGGGCCTCTGCCATCTGGCTAATGTACTGAGACAAGTTGTGCGAATCAAACAGCGGCGGAGGGCTGAACATGTTTGACCCCGTCCCTCCCATCAGGTCTTGCTGCAGGGACCCGAAGGCACCCATCATATCAGACGTAGCTGGTGCGTCGTGGCGAAGTCCGGTACTCGCCGAGATGTACAGCAGTGGTTGGATTACGCGAGTACCCGAAGTTGCCGGGATGTGTTCGAGGACCTTGACGAGTCTCAAGGCTAGGGGAATGATCCACTCGTCCCACGGCACGGAACCACTTTCAGTCATTGGTGATTCGGCAGGGAGTCGTAGGGAGACCAGGTCAGGAAAAGTCTGGTACAAGTGTAACAGCGATGAGAGTCGATAGGCTTCGGCAACTCTGGCGAGGTGCGACACTGGCGTCGAGCTATCACCCGTGTCAACATCCGGGGTTTCCGCCGGGAACTCAAGCTCCAACAACTGCTCCTCCAGACGCTGAGCTCCTATCAAGTCTTGAAGAGCGTTTGAGAAGTACTTTTGCGGATCCATGCCTTGCCTCAGTCGATGTCGTGCGCTGCGACAGAGTCGAATCGACTCGGCGAAAAGGCGTGTTGTGAGAGTAGACACACCGGTCCACGGATGAGGTGAGCGCTCCTCGATAATCTGAAGCGCCAAGTCTGCATCTCCTTGGTCGAGCGGCTCGTCATCGCGTACCACGGAAAGAAGCATCTCGCAGTACGCCAAGCTTTTATTAAAGAATGATAGCATGTCCTGATTCGCACTGGAGAATGACGCTGACTGCGCGTTCAACCGGCGAATGAGAGATCTCACCTCTCTCAAGAATGGGAGACCGTACAAGCGGGAGTCGACCCAGCAGACCGTCGTTCCTAGGCAGAAAAGGGAGAATATGAGGCCCGTTGGGACGGAGCGGAATTCGCCTTGCGCTTTTACGACTTGAAGCTCGGCTTGGATGAAATCTGTCGCTCGTTGCATGAGCCGAAGTGCGGATTGCCTCATGCTCGGGAGACGGGACGCCAGGAACGCGGCGGACATGCTCTCGAGAGAGCTGCACACCGTAGCGGACGTTCTCCAGAGGTCTATGGCAATCTTTCGATTCAGGTTCGCGTTCGAGTCGAAGCCGGACCAGGCTGGACACACCTGCTCGAACCAGTTGATGATGAACGCCGATGAGGTGTCGGCGAGACTGGGCGATAGTGAGTAAGGAGCCAGCTGGGTCTGATCTGGGGATTTTGAGGCGCTTGATTGTTGAACAATCACACCGAGAATTGGTTGACGAGGTGAAACGGGTTCCTCCGCGAAAAGTTGAGATATTTCATCCATTCCTCCATCGCTCATCTGATAAGCCCCGGTGGCATCGTCATCCCTTTCTCCAGCTCCATCTCGCTGAGCGGAACTCTTTGATGATGTTGAAGAGATTGAATGTCGGCTTCTCGGGGAACTACCGCTGCTCACTGAACCGGAGTTCGCTTTTTTGGCGCGCGTCTGGCCTTCGGGTATGTCGGTGGCTGGTCGTTTCGGTGATGTTTGAGTAGGGGGGTTGAAGTCGTCGAGTGTCAGAACCTGAAGGGCGGGCTGGTGTTTGAACGACCATCTCAAGCCTTGCGCGAATCCTCCACACTTTATTCCCTTGCGTGTGCACTGTTGACAAGCCGGTCGCGTCTCGTCACATTTCAACTATCTCAGTGTTTTGTCAGCGACCATATGTGGGTTCGGGTCGTTCCCGTGAGATCCTCGTTCATGGGGATTCAGAGAACAAGCATAAGACGGGTTGGCAGCAACGTACGTGCTTGGCTTTGCAAGTGACACAACCCGATCTCGACCGAGGGTTGAGACCAGTTCTAGTTTTGGATACCGACTTTGAACTCTTGGGGGGTACCATTGAACTTTATTCCAGTAACTGAGGGGTTTCTAAGTCCAGGTGAATATTGCTGAATGCGGTAGTTGATGGGATATCAGATCAGAGTCGTTTCGAGGCGAATTCGAGTTCGATGAGCATGGGAAGGATGGGAGCAGGCCACAAGGACTTTTTGTTCCGAAAGTCACCGGTCGTCGGTGCTCATCGTGATCGGATGAGGGTTCATACTGGTAGCCCAGGCCCCTTCGCGGCAGTGCCATAAACGCGGGGGAGGGCATCTTATGACGCTATTTGTAGTTTAAGGTATCTTGGCTGGCGCATGATAAGCTAGTGACGCTCATGATTGGTGGTAGGGGCATGCTTGATGGATGAGACGGGATGGAGCAACCCGCCAGCCATCCTTGCAGCGGGAGAGCGGCACAGCTGGCAGACCGATGCCGCTTGATGTTCGTTTCGCCTTCGATATCTATCGTGGTTGCTTCTCACTGGCCATAGAGCTTCGCCGTATTGCATCTTAAAAGGTCATGCTGGAACATTCATGTGTACGTGATTGAAGAGCAGAACTGGCCATGTGGATCTAGTGAATACAGGTACTCAGGCTCACAAAACTTATGAAGACTTCATCAGAGATATGCACTGCCTGTCGTTGCTCCGACGATCCCGTTCTGATGACACGAAGTAGGTAAAGGTTAGCCTGCTAATGGTTCAGCTCAAGAGACTATGAACGTGAGTCAGAGTCATGCTTTTCGTATAATTTCGTATCATGCTATCCGTACATATATGGCCACTTGCCCTTCTGCCTGAAGACCAAGAATGCCCGAAAAAAGAAGGAAAAAGGAGATCATGTTGATCCCGAATTCCCGCAGACTCTTTGGTTTTCGGCGCTGCGGCGATAAGAAAGCCAGGGGACCAAGGGTGGGAGAAGAATTCCAGGGATTCAAGGGGTTCCAGACCAAGATACGCGGCGATCACCCCCGGTTCACCCCGCATTATGCAGGCTCAAAGTCCAATCATGGCCGCTCTATTGTCTTTTATCTATCCCGGTACCGGGATGGCCGCCGCGGGAGGACCAATTTGCCTAAGATAAGCCCAGCCAGCGCCTCTTCGTGTTTCCCACGCTGCCCTCGCACTTTCGGAGACTCCTGCCATTGTTCTCTTCGAATCTCATATCAAACGACCTGTAAGAGTGGCTTGAACTTGATTGATAGGGTGGCTGCATAAGCGTCATTCAGACCCTCCGACTTCGGCCGGCATGGCTGATCCCTAGCCGAATCTCACGATACCAATAAGGCCGGCCGACTCATCAATGGGCGAGATGAACACGTCGTGAATTCTCGTCTCCTATGCATGTACGTGTCTTTGGAGTGGAATGCGTGTATGGGAGTTTCAATCTTACTTCAATGCTTCATGTACCCCGCATTCTGCTATTCCTGTTCCGTCGACCGCGCTTCGCTCCCGCTGATCTGCTGTCGTTTTCATTAGTAACGAATTCCACTCACCACAATGTACCTCCACGTCACCTCGCGCTCCCGTGTTAAAGACCGATGGCTCATGGCTCACGGGTATGACACTACCAGTGGTCTCATCAAGTAATAGTTTGAAGCCAGCTACAATATCACGACTAGGTTCAAGAGCAGCTCCAAGCCTCAACCTACCTGTACCTGGAGGTGGAGTCCCCCTCGAGTTCTCTCGTGATTAGACCAGTGACAGAAAGTGAAAGCACTATGCAAGTATGACCTGGAGGCTCTTGAGACTCTGTTAATTCTCATAGAGATGTTGACTATGCATGGTGGTTGAAACACATGTTACCTGTATCATTGTATCATTGGATAGTCCATTTCTTCTCCCAGCCCTTGAAAAAAGGCGCTTCGGCTAAGGTCTGCGGCTCCCAATCCTTCTCAATCAGGCCATTCTCAACCTGATACTTCTCATACTCCTTCAAAGTCGGCTTGACCACGTGCTCTACATGCCATGTTCCCTTGTACTTCAGGAGGCTCTCTTTACCCTCATTCAAAACTTTGAGAACTAAAGAAGGGATGTAAGGCTCATCCTTGAACTCAGTCAATGGCGTGAACAACGCTTTGAAGTTGAAAACAACGCCGCCAGATAACGGTAGGCGGCGCAAGGTCTGCCAGTCGACGCGTAGGTGAACGTCTTCGGGCTGAAGGCTGGGGTTTTGATGCTCGCGATGGGAAAACTCAGGGTGTTCTGAGGGAAGATACAGCGGCTGGCCTTTCTCAAGACCCCATGAACCGCGTTGAATGGGTTTGTTGGTGGGCATTTTAGTGAAGAATCTAGAGTTATGTTAGTGATAGGAACACTGAGACACCACCCGCGACCAGATCAGGATCTTACCGATCCATGCTGAATTCCATCTTTTCTTTGTAGTCTGGGACGACCTTGTGGATTCCTGGTAGCCCCAAGCCCGCCTTTTCACTGAGTTTCCAGCCAACAGAAGAGCATATTATTCCGGCCCGCAGGACATACTTGCCAGTCTCGTGATCTCGGAGCATGATTCCAAAGTCTTCAGGAACGTTGTCCAAGAGCACAATCAGTGGCTCAGTGGCAGAAAGATCCGTCGTTGTCCCAAGAATGTTGTTGTACAAGACGTTACCTTCGAGCTTGAATTGATTGGGATATCTTGCGCAGATGAATTGGATGACCATCTCCATAAGTTCTTTGCAAGCGAGCTCGGAACCCGGCATGCTATCAAGAACATCACTGCCATTCTTTGCGTACAGATCTTTGCGCTCGGCAACGCGCTCCCTGTATGTGTTTTCAAGCTCGATCCAGAAATCCGTATCCATCTTGGTTAGAGCTAGCAGTCTTGGTATGAGTTTGAGTTCGTGAAACGTAGAATACTGACGGGACTTACACATGGTCTGATGGTAAGCCCATCTAAACGGTCGGTAAGGCCGCGGGACGGCCTTGTCAATGTCAAAGTTTGCCAATGGCGACGGCAACGGAACACCTGAGATAGCTGCATAGTCTGGAAAGTCGCCAAGTTTCTGAATGTCATCAATGCTGAAGCCACTGAAGTTGAATAGGGAGGGGTCGGCGGATCGGTAGTTCGCATCCACTCTCAACAGAGGCTTCGGCGTCACGGCGAGGTCGACCTCCTTGACGTCCGCGAAGTGTGGCCCAAGCTCCGCAATTGTGGTTCTCTGGGACGGCGGGAACGTGTTCACATAGCTCTGCTTCTCGGCCGTAGTAACGGAGGGCTTCTCGGCCGGCTGGCTGAAAGACGGGGCGCGGTTGAACCTCGAGAAAACCTTCCGACTATCGATGAGAGTGCTTATGAGATAGAGTAGGGCACCGGTGAAAGCGGCGATGCCAAGCACTGTGGTGAAGGCATAATGGTCACCGAGTTCAATTGCGAAGGACATGGCGGACGGTTCTTTTGCTCTGTCATACAAAATGACTTGGCATTGATACGTTCATTTTCGTTGCTGGAAGCTAGGGGATAAGTATTCGCAACTCGCGAGAACAACCATGGTCTATCAAGATGCTCAGAAACGCAAGTCACAGGGTCGAGTAGATGCATCAGGTAGATTTAGCCAGCAGCACCTTCTATGCCACCGTTTGACCATTCGCATGATGCGGCGCGTTACAGTCTGAAGGGTAGGATATCGTCCCTCACACCCTCACCGGAACCGGAAAGATTATACGGACGAGAGCTTGAGCCATTTCGCGTCACAGAGTCTAGCCCAATTTGTTAAATCTACCCGGCACCCTCTTTCATCCACTGATGATGCAGCGATAAGGTCAGGAACATGGGATGCGGAACGACCCCGCTTGATGACGACCCTGTCTTGGATGTCTCCCACGTCTCCCACGCTCCCCCGGCTATGCCCGCAAGCCCGTTCCTCACGCGGCTCGAAGCTGCGGAGGCCGCAGCGCCCGTGCTTCTCTAATGCTGTCAGGGTTTCCTTGCATGTAAGCTCCTATCAAACAACGCTCAGCTAAAGACGCCAATGACTAGCTATACGGGAGGATTTGTATACATGGCTTATGACGCCGTGCGCCCTTCCCCTTTTTACGGGTTGAACCCGACGGCTGTCCTTCAAACCGCCTCCCTCCCGCTCTACTCGACTCTAATTGGATAGGCTCCCGCATCCGTTTCCAGCAGTTTAGACCGGTCGTGATTCACAGTGCAAGACAGTTGAGCCCACTGATCCTCGTCCCTTTCCAGTCACCCCTAGCAATGCCCAGACTTTTGGTGCCCAGAAACCAGCTCGAGAGCTTCCTGGATTGAGTAGGAAGATAGGTCTTTTCGTGTCCCCGGTGAAGCTCGTCTATCAGGGATGAGCCAATCAGGGAGGTTGGTGTTATCTGGCATCCGGTGCCCAAGACAATTGTGAACATGCTTAATTTTGTTACAGAGCCAAACTTATCTGGGGTTCGGACTGGTGCCAAGTGATAGCAATACCGACAGCATGGCAGCTTGGCCAACATCTGAAGATTGACGAAAGCTTTAAGTGGCTCCCTGATGTCCCGTCAAGCTTGAGGGATGAGGTTCCGAGGCTTTGGTTCTTTAACAGGAAAAAAGCAAAATTGCCTTCTTGTGCCCGCCGTCTCAGTCATTGCACCATAACATCTTCTCTGGAGATATTGTCGTGATACATCATGGCGGAAGTTATCCCTGTGACCGAGTTCCCGGACTATGCTACCGACCCAACGGGAGGCAACCCAATCACTCATGACCTCAACGCACCTTATGACAAGGTAAGAAAACAATTTAACAAAAGATCTTCTGAAGACCTAAGAAACAAAAAGAAAGAATCTTTCAATTGGGTTTCAAAGCCCGCTAACTTGTGCGAACAATCCGTAGGGTGACCTATGCTGGGTGTTGGTGTGCACGATCCTATGCTGGCAGATTACGCCGGCCATCGGCTTTCTCTACGCCGGAATGCATCGCAGGAAATCCGCCATGACAATGGTTCTTCAATCGCTCTTCTGCGCATGCGCCTGTGGTCTTCAATACTGGATATATGGTGCATCGCTGTACCAGTCGCGCACGACGAACCCCATCCTCGGCAACCTGTCCAACGCGGCATTCCACAACCTCCTGGCTTCTCCATCGTTCGCCAACAGTGATATCCCAGACATCTTGTGTAAGTCAAGTATCTCCTGAGAAGGTTAACAATAATATGGATGGGGACACTAATAACAGTCTGTTGGACAGATGCTGCCTTTGGCTTCACCTTTGTTACAGCTACGGCAATGATTCTGGCTGGTGCCATGCTCGAGCGCGGCCGTCTCTGGCCCAGCATGCTTTTCCTTCTCTGCTGGAACACGTTCGTCTATTACATGTAAGCCCAAGACCGTCTTCCTCCAGCACACGTGTTTTAGAGCAAAGCTGACTTGCCCTTCAGCTTGGCATATTGGGAGTGGAACCCCAGCGGTTGGCTCTACAACCTCGGCCTCTACGACTTTGCAGGCTCTGGCCCAGTCCACATCGCCAGTGGTTTCGGAGCCCTCGCCTGGTCAATGATGTTGGGCCCCCGTATCGACGACAGCAGCACATCCACGAAGAAGAGGCATGTTCCTCAGTTTAGGGGCCACAACCCTTTGTTGATGACTCTGGGTACCGTTCTCATCTGGTTTGGATGGTTTGCCTTCAACGGAGCTAGCACGGCTAATCTCAGCTTGCGGTCCATCTATGTCGTTGTGAACACCAACTTTGCTGCTTGCGGTGGTGGAGTCACATGGGCCTTGTTGGACTATATGTACCTGAAGAAGTTCAGCTTGGTCGGCTTCTGCTCGGGTATTATCTCCGGTCTTGTTGGTATCACCCCGGCAGCTGGCTTCGGTAAGACTATCTTTCTCGTTGCAGTCCCATGTTTGCGCTAATGACTACAATAGTTCTTGTCTACGTCTCACCTCTTGTCGGAATTATCACAGCAATCTGCTGTTTCTACACTGTTCGATACCAGCACATCCTCCGCGTCGACGACGGTCTCGATATCTTTGCCATTCACGGTGTCGGTGGATACGTTGGTGATATTCTGACCGGTCTCTTTGCCCACAAGATGGTACCGGCTCTTGACGGAGTTAGCGGCGACACGTATGAGGGCGGCTGGTGGAATGGGAACTTCAGACAGCTTGGTCTACAGTTGGCAGGCGCGACGACTTGCGCTGCCTGGTCGTTCTTTGTCTCGTGCATCTTGTTGTTCCTCATCAATAAGATTCCGGGAATGCATCTGCGCGCTACTGAGGAAGACGAGCTGCGAGGTCTTGATTATGCGTACATTGAGGATATTGTCTCAGACTACGATGATGGCAATATGCTGATCCACAATGGCCAGGTGGTGGAGACGCCGACTCCGCCGAGCCTTTCGAAAAGCTCATAGACCCGTAGACACGTGTTCATTTAGAGGTCGGAAGAATTAGAAGGTCGATAGACTATACAGTACCATGTGAAGGTACTATTTCTTGGAAATGATTCCCTTGTGAGCCTAGTAAGGAAATCAGTGGCCATCAACTGACTGTGGTATCTACTTACTTAGTGTACCTCCTCAGGTACCTCTAGACCATATGTGGCCGTTAAGGTACTGTGACGATACTTCCTAGGAAGCACATAGTTTTTTGTTAAATGCCGACTGCACCAAATTCAGAGTCTCTGAATTTGTTAGATGACAACTGTTCTTCTCTTGTAGCATGAGGGGTCGAATCTTCCGGAAAACCCCCGTGAAAAATGCCGGACTCAAACCCCGGCTCAATTCCAGCAGAACCCGAGAATGAGTGGATCTCGGCACCGGATGTCCGGCCCAAATCAAAACAAAAACCGAATCACACGCACTATCAAGTACTAGGAAATCACATGCACGTGACTTGAATCACGGCGAACAAATCTAGAAGTTGGAGTATGTTCATTCGTCGCTGAACCCTGGCTTTTCTCGAAGTCAGGCCACTTGAAGGTCTTGAGGTGTAGACGGCGTTTGACCCACTCGGTCATGAGCAACGGCCTACTTCTCTTTCTTGGGTTTGCATGGCATGATCACCTTGTGGTTGTGGGCTTTTCGAGAGACAATGGGGGCGGTCTACTTGACGAATTGAACAAGTTTCTCTCCTAATCTCAATGACAAACCCAGATGAGACACGACTATCACCTTTGGAAGAGCTGTGGGTTGGTTCATATAATATTACTACAGACTAGACCTTTGACAGCATTCGGCACACAGAATTCGTACGTCATCTCCGATGCCGATGACTCTTCTTTCTCGGAAATAATTGTGACAAGTCGCCCAACGGGATACGAAATGGCAACACTTCACCGCAAAACTCAGCGGCCATCACGTAGAAACCAGCCAATGCAGCAACAAACCCAAATCCACCGGCGATCTTGGCCAAAGTCCCACCGGCCGAGGCACTTCCACTTGCGAATAGAAAATTCGCTGAGCAATTCAAAATGTAAGAAAGCTCAAGCCCTCCATAGACGATGACGTTTGCGACATTCCTATTATTGCAAGTTGTCAGTGATCAGCAAGCTCTGCAAGAACAGATGGGTTTGGCACTTACGTCGCAAAAGCAGCAATGAAGAAAAAAAAGTTGAAAAGCGACCAGACTGGTTACAGCACTCAAAGTCAGTCGCGAGCTGTCACATCGGAAAATCAAGATAATGGAGGGAATTCTAAACAAACCAGCAAGATAGAATCCAAAGGCGGTATAATATTGCTCCGTCTTGCCACCGTAGCTGTCGACTATTCCAACCGAAGGTATCAGCAGGAAGCCATAACCGCCATAGTAGAGTGCTAGGAAAATCAGTCCTCTCTAGTCATAATATCAGAATAATGTAGTCACAAACTCACCAAAAGCAATGAGTGTCGTATAGGCGAACGTGTTACCCCTCACCATTTCCCACTGAGCTGAGATGAGGAGACCCAGTCCAGCGAGGAAGCAGAGGTTGGCAATGAATACAGCTTGATTTTCGATGTTTCTAATACCCATATTGGCCAGTGATAGAGTCATCAACGTAGTCGCAAATGCCCCGTAGCCAAAAGGGCTCTGCGGGATGACATGGTCAGCCAGTTGTTGGTGAACTTCTAGAAGGTGCGACCCGGACTGGACAAGTGGGAAATAGTATAGTGACCCTACCGAATTAGCAAGTCGTTCTTTCGGGGTCGCGAGTGGCCTGATTGACTCGATGTCGACTTCACATGTAGTTTCGGCAGACATCTTGATAACTTCTGATAGTGACGGGGCGCAGTTGAAGTATGAGATCAAGTATTGGAGTAAATCATGAGCTTGGAACTATTATTAAGGCGAAGGCATGGTGATGAGCTTTAGAGTTCCAATGAATTACACCGAAAAGACGTGTTGCCGTTGCTGTTATAGGAGGCGAAAAGAATATTCGGTTGGTCATGAGCCATGTTGGCCGGGCTTTGAATTTTCACCTCGGCGACTCAATGCATGCCTCGTTACATGCTCAGTTCAAAATCCCTTCACCGAGGCCCATAATTACCGCAACTTGATTCAATGATCTTTTTCAACGAGTCCACTTGTGGCTAAACCAGGTCTGATTCCAGTACTGTTCGTTGTACGCAGCCATTTACATCAAATGGACCCATCATCGCTTGCTAATGTGCATCTGTCAACATTCAATTGTCGTACTGATTGACATCGATTTTTTTGCGTGAATACCACACTATTCATCGAGAATAGCGGCTCAGGTAACATAGCTGGGCATCCCACCTTACCTATTGGCTTACATATGCCAATAGGTAAACTTCTTCGCCGGGAAGGACCCAGAGTTGCGCCATTTCAACTTCATCTGAGGATACATGCACATGATTTTGAGTGTCTGGGAAAGTAGTCTTCATTTACTCCGTTTCATTGTCTCGGAGTCGTAAGGATAGTAAGTTTTAGAAATTAAGCACAAGTAGCACCACCTCGTAACGCCATACACCGCCCCTCCGGCCGTCATCCATCGTAGTCGCGTGCTGCCTGTGGCCCAAAGGCTACATGTATTTTCAGGTAACAAGAAGCTTAGTACCCTCCATTGCGACGCCTCTCATCCTCCCTGCGTTGCTGCTCATAATCCTGGATGCGGTCGCCGTACTTGTTCTTGTCGTTCTGGGCTTTCCGAATTTGCTCGTCGTACCTAGTGCGGCGGTCCTCCTCAGCCTTGATCAATTGGTCCTGCTTGTTCTTGTCATACTGAGATTCGCGGATCTGTTGGTCCGCACGCTGGCGTCTAGCTTCTTCGGCACGGATCTCCCGGTCATAATTGTTCTTATTGTATCCGTTGTTGCCGTACCTGTCCTTGGCTCTCTCAGCATCTTGGATGCGCTCACCACTGCGTTGCTTCTCGTATTGAGCCTTGCGAATTGCCTCATCCTCCTTGTCCTTGTTGTACTCTCCATTCTTGATTTTGTCGCCACTCTTGTTCTTATTGTACTCGGCTTTGTTGATACGAGAATCCTCACGCGCACGGTCTCTCTCCAGTTGACGAATTCTCTCATCATCCTTGTTGCGCTGGTTCGAATAGTAGTTGCTGTCCTTGTTCTGGTAGTTGGGGTTCTTGTAGTCATTGTAGGTTCCCGACTTGCCGTCATAAGACTTTGGGTTGAAGTTTGTTGTCGTCTCAGGCGTCTCGACGAATCTGCCGCCACGTCCACCCCTTTTGGCGTCCGCCAGCTCCTGCTTCTCCTTGTCCTTCTGAGCTTGAAGGCGGTTCTTGTCTCTCTGGTTCTGGCCCTTCACTCTGTCGAGGGAAGCTTGCTCCTCAAGCTTCTTTCGCCTGGCAGCGTCCTTTTCTCGGGAGTTCGTAGCGCCCTTCTGTCTCTCACGGGCCTCTTGAATCTCTGCGCGCTCCTTGGCTTCCTTCGCCCTGCCGCTGTCATGTTGTTTTCTCTGATCTGCCTGGATATCTTTGATCTCGTTCTTTTCCTTCTGGACTCTTCCCTTGTCAACCCTATTGTTATTGTTGTTGCCCCGCGAAGATGAAGTCCGAGATGAAGAGGTGCGACTCGAAGAAGATTTCTTATTGTCACGAGACTCAAGAGTGCCATGCTGATCGTCATCCGCCTCTAGGTCACGAGACTGGAAGGTCGAGTAGACCTCGCTGACTTCCTTTAGGTCCCGCGCTTCAAGATCACCGGACTCCTCAGCGTCCTCTAGGCCTCTAGCAGAGATGCCAGCAGCGGTGGTGGCCTCGACGTACTCATACTCGTCCTCATCTCGGGCCTCGAGGTCAGCGTAGTCCTCGCTGGTTTCAATATCGCGGGTCTCTAGAGAAGTCCGAGGGTTCTCATCAAAGACACTTGCGGCATTTTCTTTGTTCTCGAAACGTGTGATGAGAGGAGCTGCAAGTGTGCTCGAAACGAGAGCGGAAACCAACAAAGCTTTGACGGAAGGCATGTTGTGAGTAGGCAGGTAACGGAGACTGGTGATGGAGACACAAGGCTGAGTTGCTAAGGGAAGCTGGAATTGTAAACTGTGAAGTCTGCAACCTGTCTTCCAAAAGGAACCCATTAAGGAAAGCAGGAGGCCTTGTCATCTTTAATACGTTTCTCAGCACCACAGAATATCTGTTCAGTCCTGAAGACTACATGTTTCGTTTGTCAGACTAGTGAATAAGTCTAAAATTCTCCGTTAAGGTTAAGTTGATGGTCTGAGACGGCCGATATCTTAGCCTTGATCTTGATCCGTCGTCGGCAGTGACCTGTTGATGGCTTCCAGGGTGTGAGAAAAACGAGGCTGTTTCTCATGATCTCAAAAGCCCGATTTGATCTTGCGGGCGCAGCACTCACGGTACGCAAGCTTAGCTGTGATCCGTTAGGTAGGAACGGGCTGTGAGGGTGAGTAGCATGCCTTCAACGCGTGTTCCGAAAGACTTGGGACGAAAAAGCTTGGTCTTCATGCGCAAAAAGTAGGGCGACGCAGTAGATGCCCATAAGCGGACCCGAGAGCGACAAAGTCCGTCCGCACGTCGTTCAACACTGACAGCGTTTATTCCTTCCGTGGAGCTCCAGGAAGCAGGGCGAAAAGTCCCTGATTCAGGGGCCCTGTCGACTGCGTCTGGATTCGAGTCGACCACCGCGGGGTAGGGCAACTTTAGACTCAACATTGAGCACGACTAGCTTGAAATGGTAACTGGGTGCGGGCCTGATCTTCGCGGGCCACGTACATCTCCCGCTGCGGGGTACTGAGAAGAAGCCAATCGGTTCACGAAGCCGAGCAAGTCGTCGTAACGGCCGCAACAATGAATGAGATGCCAAGAGCCTCTGGACCATTACCCCTCGAAGCTTGAGTCTCTTCTCACCTACTTCTAAGTTCGCTAGAGAGAGATCGGAAGCGAGAGCTCGCTTCCAGTTGACAATTGCGCGCTCGTGAACTCTCATTCACGTGGGAAAGGGTCCATGAACATCTGCGAACCCTCTCCTTTGTCGATGTCCGATAAGCCAAGCACCTCGTCTACTCCCAACTCTTCGGAACAGACAACGCATAACTTTCGGCAACCTACGAAGCTTCGGCCGCGTACTACGCCGGCCAAACTCTCGGCAATGCTGGCACCAGATTCGCATCTTTTGGGCTTTCGCCTCGCCAGCCCGGGGTCGACTCGGTGGAGCAGGCACGCCGCAGACGGTCAGCTATACAGAGCGACCGGCAATCAAAGCTTCTCTGGCGTAAACTGTATCTTGTGGCGCTGGACTTTCCTGTGGAAATTGGTTTGACTTCTAGCTATCTGACTCTGAAATATTTCAAATCATCTGCAAGGCACCAAACCTCAACAAAAGCCCGGGCCATCTTGCGGAAATCCCGCTTGCAAGTTTAGATCAAGACTGGAGGCTGTTCAAACTCGAATCGTCGACCAACGGCTTGTTCACCTTCCCCCAGAACAGTGCGTAGGTGGATTGTTTCGTTTCACCCATTTTAGTACTTTCCCTGCCCACTGACGATCCTAGGATATGGACCGATGGCTTCATCAAACTTGGCTCACGAGCTCCAAAACCACTAGAGCAACGATAACTCCAAAATCCCTTCGTGAATTCGGAAACATCAAGTCCTTATCTCTTTCTTCTTCCCTGACAGCATCGACAGACATTTCTGAAAAGATCTTTGCAGCTGAAGTCTATGCCAACTTACGTACCTGATGGCTGATGACAATCCCCAACGTCTGCGTGCAAAGATTCCTCGCTTGAAGAAAGGAGTAATAGTAACAACACTCGGACTGAGAATATGATCTCGAGCGTTGCTCACAGACAGCTTAAGTCATCTAACGCCTTAGCCAGAAAGATGTTAACTTGATTCAGTAACTCCGTCGATGGCCGAGAGAGTAGTAAGGTTCCATCTGCTCGCCATCAGTCTCTGCACATATCGGCAACATTGTGAGCTCGCAACACACCTGTTCTCTAGCTTCCTCTATGCATTAGTTTAACACAGACACAACATATTAGAGTGTGCTTCAGGCCCACTGAAGCTGAAGGTTTGACTACTACGGGTCCCGCAAGTGAGGTTGGCTAATGCACCTTTATGTTGAATAAGGTGCGGGTATCTAACGGGAGTGCATAGGGACTGAAGGCTTGCGGACCTTTCCCTGCTTCGCGAGGGGTTTCTAGTGTGATCAAATCAATTCGAAACTGGTTTCCAACCCTCTGTGTCACTGAGTTTGAATCAAGCACGAGCATATCAGAGGCTGAACGATAATCGCCGCCAGAGTGCTTGCATTGTGGCCCCGTATAGGTAAAGTATTTACGGTTAGCTATTCGGGATGTGTCCTTCCTTTAGAGCCCGTCATCCATCGTCTACATTATAGTTTACATTCACACGAGATCTCCGTTATACCTCAGACTAGAGCCGATGTGGCCAATAAGGCTTGCGCGAAGCCTTTCACAATCCCGTCGGCTTTAGAATGAATATTACCCACCTGGAGGTCAGAAGATTCCATCAACAGGATGAAAACTCATCTCTGTCTGCACTTTCAACTCTTTCGTCTTCCACTTTAGGAACAGGATGAGGCAATTGTCTTTCCCATTCTATCTGCTCCGTTGATCTAAAGTGTCATTGCAACGTCTTCTGGAAACTTGATCTTATCTCACTCAGTACATGTATGGTGGACTAAGTGTTCGCCCCGCACATGACCCATGTCTTGCCGAGTGCATCTTACTTATATGCTACTATCAAGTGAAAGTGTGAATACAAAGTGTCTGAGGATGATTTACCTTTTGGGCTTG